GTTTATACAATATTTACTGTCTATATAACCATTATATACTACTTATGTACTTACTGACAACAAATTATTAAGGGTTTTGTTCAATTTCATTATTCGTATGTTAATAAAAACAATTTCTGACTTAAACTTACACTTCGAGTCTGCTCTGAATACGGATTAAATGCTCGGCTAAGCGATAATTAGTCGTTAAATAAATACTATAGCTTAGGCAACCCCTGCACTGGTGCCTCGTGCTTCAAGTGCGCTCCTGTAGCACTTGCAGCAGATGGTCCAGCTTCTGTTCGATGAACTGCAAATTCTCCAACTTATGCTCGATGATCTGCAGCCGTCGATCGCTGATCTGGTCCCGCTGGCGCCGCTGTTCCGCATTGGACTTCTGATCGATGACGGCCAGCGCGAGCTTCACGGTCCGGCCATCGATCTGGGAGCACTTGCCGGTCAGCACGGAGCAGCAGCAGGGCATCAGCCTCAGCGGCGGATCAAGCAGCTTCTTCTGCGTGGCGCTCGTGGGCAGCTGCTGGAAGCTGGCCGGGCTCTTGCCATTCAGAGGCTGCAGCTCGAAGCCATCGCTCATGGGTATCAGCACCTTGTTGCCGTCGTTGGGCAGCACTGAGATCTGGCGAAGGCTCAGGTAGTTCGGGTAGATGTTCATCAATCGCTGGCAGATGCTGCGGAAGGGTTCGCTGCCCACAATGAAGCCAGCGTGTCCATCCCGGCCAGTGAGAACTTGCTCGTAGCGGGTCAGCAGATTGGTGCGTACGATGGCGCCGTTCAGTTCCGCCTGTGCTTTGATGGCCTGTGGGAGATGGAATAAATTGGACACAGTTAAATAAAGCCGGAGAAGAAGAGGAAATATATATGTAAGCCCACCTGAGTGTCGCTCACAGCCAGACCATTCAGCAGATTGAACAGCACAATGGTCATAAAGAACACAAAGAGCAGGAATATCAGATAGGTGTAGACGCTATCAAACTTAATGTCTCCGGCATCAAACTCTCCCGTGAGCATCACAATCGTCTTGATCAGCGCCTCGATGGGCACCGAGAAGGTGTTGAAGTGCCCATCGTCCTCTCCCTCCTTTACGGGCTCTGGCGGGCTGTCCTTCTGGTCCACCTGGGGCTTACCAAACAGTATGTAGAAGCACAGACTGAACGTGAGCACAAAGATCGAGTAGAGGGCAAAACTCTTGATGAAACTGCTGGAGACGGCGCGGAGCATCAGCATGTGCGTCGAAATGGAGAGTACTGGCAGGGAGCCCACCAGCAGGCAGAACTCCAGGGACACCAGCAGAATGGTGAAGACGGCCAGAACGCGTTGCGTCTCCTTGTCGTAGCTGGCCTCCATGCAGGTGAGGATCGACAGGACGATGAGAGCCACCTCCATCAGGTTGGTGATGGACCAGAAGTGCAGCAGCGGCGACATGGCAAACTGTATCACCTCTCGGATGATCAGATACACAATTCCTATCCAGGAGAACAGTCCGAAGAGGGCAGTCAGGGCCGTGTGGTCACTCTCATGGAACTTGAGGAGCGTGTGCGTGATGATGGAGGCGGTGAAGAGGGAGTAGAGCAGGAAGTTCAGATAGAAGATCACCGAGAGGCGGTGCCACTTGAGGAAGAGGAAGCTCGAGATCAGCGGATGCTGCAGCAGGTGGCGCAGCTCCTTGGTTTCGGCAATGTACGCGATGGGCGTCATCTCGTCCTGCAGCTGGTGGGGATGGGCAATGGTCGACTGCCCCGACTCCCGCTCCCGTCGCATCAGATTCTTATAGTTGATGACGATCTCGAAGCCCTGGTCACCGGGCTTCTCCCCGTTGGTGGTGATGCAGGAATCGAAGTGCTCCTCCAGCACTTTCGGGTCCATCTCCTGTATGGGCAGCTCCCCGAACGCGCTCCTGGCCCCGATGTACGCTCCCTGGCGTAGCAGCTCCTGCGCCACCTTTGTGTTGCGATACTTGACCGCATAGGAGAGAGGCACCTGGCCACCCTTGTCCGCCTCGTTGATGTCCACACGATCGCTCTCGAGCAGCAGCTGGAAGCAGCGCTGATGGTCGCAGAAGTCGTCCAGCGGCTGCTCATCCAGGCGACTGATCACCGCGTTCAGCAGCTTGGAATTCGAGGTAAGCCTCAGCTGCGGATGCTTCAGAAGCTTCTCCAGCGCCCTGTGGTTGCCCCAGATCACGGCCAGCTCCACGGGGCTGGTGGCATTCAGTTTCGTCGGATTGATGTTGATGCCCGTTTCGAGGATGGCCTCGAGGGCTCGCTGCTTGCCCCGCTTGATACTCTCCACCAGGAGCGACAGATACTCCTCCTGGTTGGCGTTGCGCTGGTTGTCCGCGTTCCCGCTGAGGTTCTGGTGATACTCTGCGAACTGCTGCTCAAACTGGGTCTCGTCCCCATCACGCAGCGTGCGCAGGAGTCGCTCGCAGTCGATCTCTGCGCCGGCCTCGCGCATCTCTGGCAATTGCAGGTCCGGGTACTGATCCTTCAGCATCTGGCGCACCTGCCCGTTCCGATAGCTGTCAATGTCCAGCTGGGGTTGGGTCAGGAACAGCCGGATCAGCTCCTGCTTGGTTCCGGCCTCAATCTTCCTGTTCTTCAGCACATGGTGGAGGGGCGTGAACTCGCCCTGATCCACCACATTGGGAGAGGCGCCGTACTCGAGCAGCAGTTGGATGCAGGAGCCCACCTGTGAGGCATTCTCCGCTGTGAGGTTCTTGGCCAGCGAGTTGAGGGGCGTCAACTGGCCGTACTTGCGGTCCACCTGGACTCCCCCGTGGCGCAGCAGCACGGCCAGATTCGATGGATCCCGCGAGTCTGCGGCATAGCTAATGGCAGCCTTGTTAAGCTTTTGATTTATCTGTGCGGGCGATCAAAGTTCGAGGAGTCTCTTAGCAGAAGAAGATGGGGAATGGCGGACCATGGAGAATGGGCAACTTACATAGTTCACATTGCAGCCGTGCGAGAGGCAGGCCTCGATAAACTGTGCGCACTCCGGCGTGGAGAGCGCCTTCTCGTAGAGGGTCGTGTGTCGTTCGTCCGGCAGATTCGCCTGGGCACCGTTGTCCAGGGCCGTGTGAAATTCCCGTATGTCCCGCTTGGCCAGCGCTGCGCTCAGCTGTCCCTGCGGATCGATGAAACCGCAGTTGTTCAAGTCCATTCTGCTGTCTGCAAAGAGTCGAGTGGGAATGCGGCGGATGAGCAATGTCTATGTGGGCTTTTGGTTAATCTTAGCCAACCCACGCTGCGTATGAGTAACTTCTGATGCCAATTCTATGGAAATGATGCCAGAACCCGCATTGCTCGCGCTCTGCTCTGGTCACTGGAGGGTCAGACAACGGACGGTGTCTGGCTAGACCTTGAAATGGCCAAAACAAAAGCATGAGAGTGGACCGACAGCGACCCCCGCAACAAACGGCATTTGACAACGCTTCATGCTACGATGATTTTCACACAAATGACTATCTGTCTGTCTGTCTGTCTGTCTGTTTGTCCATGGAGCTGGCTAGCAGCTGGTGGCGGAGCTGGCCACAGCTGAAAGCTGCCCCACAGGTTTCTCGAAAAACAAAAACCAAAATCTTCGTTTTGGGGGCAATTAAAGAAAGCGTCTTTAAGTGCTTTCTGTGGTACAGACCTACAGACTTAATTTGCCCTCCCGTGTAGTTATTAAATCATAACAATACATACACAGCTGCGGACAAGACAAGGTCTGAGAAGGTACTTAGGGAGGAGTGGCTTGATTGGTCAAAGTGATCTACAAATTTGAATCAAGTTTGGGGCTCGCAGTTTTTGGGATATCAAAATTTAACGATCATAAAGAATAATCATAAAATAATCGACACATCAATATCAATTAGCAATCAATTGGTTACGCTTTATGCTTTGAATACTGTTCCGAATGGAGCTTTAGATAAGGCCCTGGGGGAGTGCTGAAATCTTGCGATTTATAGGCGGCTTTTTTCGTAAATTTCAAGGCGGCTTCTTCTGTGGGATCGATCTCCAGCCGCCAGCTCAACTTATTCTCCTCTCTGCCCTGCTCTGTTCTGTTCTGTTCCGTTCTGTGCTGTCTGCTTTGATGCTTGAAATGTGTGAGAAATCGGCTAATCACACATGAGATTTGGCTAATTTGAATATTCCCCCACTGATTGTTTATCAATAGCCCAAGAATTGGTAATCAGGAAACATCGTCTCCACTCCATTGTAGGTAGCTCTTTGGCTAATGTTGTTTTAGTATGCAAACATAAACGGCGCCCCTGGTGGGCAAAATTTGTCGTTGATAAGATAAACGGAATCGCACAATCACCTTCCTTAATTGGCCCTTTATTTGGTCTTGACTTGTTCTCCCATCCAACCAACCGCTTGCCCACTCTGCTATTTGTTTGCCCACCTGAGTACGAGTGCGAGTATTTGCCCAAGCAATTGACAAACAGCCAGCCTCATTGTTTGCCCCTGCTGAAGCTCGACCCAAAGTCTTGCTTAGTCTTCGGTTGACAGAATGGCGCAATAAAATAACTCGCAATAATTAACAGAAAACTTAAAACGATTTTCAAAAGTGAGTAATTCCTCTCTCATTCGCATCTGAACCAGGAAAATAAGAGCACTGCTTGAAGAAATATTGATGTAATACCATCAATACTTTTTGGAAAAAGCTTTGCCGCCGATTTCGCAATATTTGTGGCACTTAAACATTTGCATCATCTACGGAAACCCGTCGAAATCGCAGAGTATCCGGAGGCTGGAGGCTGGAGGCTGGAGTGGAATGCAATCACAGCCTGTCAGAAGAAACCCGTTGATCAGGTTTGCAAGGGAAATGCAGCAAAAAAAAAGAGTATGGAAATAATTGCAGTCAACGGAAGTCTTGCACAACTCTCAGCTGCAGACAACAAATCGGGGATATAAATATCACGAGAAGTTTAATGATTGTCAGCATTTTTATGCCCCCCCGCCCCCTTCTCGTGAAGCTCACAGATATGTATACTATAACACTGGTGAAAAAAAGTAATCGTACTGAGCAAAAAGTGTGTCAAAAAGGAAACGGAAAGCCAAAAAGTTCTTATCCACATTATAAGGCTGATTATTTCGAGTTTTATATAAAAATAGTAATACGATTATTTTCGACGTTCCATTTTTCTCTGAGTGAACATATACTCGCATTTATATATAACCTATCAGCCCTGTTCTCCTTAGTCTTCTGGAGGAACATCTGGAACTTGGAAACAGAGCTGGAGCCCCTGAAATTTTCCCAACAAAATTAGCTCTGACTGCCCGATCGAATCGTCTGCTACAGTTCTTTGTGCTGCTGAATAGCTGCAAAAGTAAAATCAGCAAATGACAACACTTCGGAAAGAGGAAGTAGCACGGGGGTCGTGATTAATGTAAAGTTCTTCACACGATAAGCTATAAATGCATATATGTTCAGCTGCACAGGATCAGCTGCATTTCTTCGTCCGTCTGTCAAGAATTTATATATAAATGTATTCTCATACACTGCTATACAATTCTCACATGATACGAGTCTTTTATCATACCCTTCCCGAATACGTGACGTGATCCGATCCGATCCGATCCGATCGAGTGCTGAAATTTCGGATCGTGAGACCCTCTAGCAGTCGTGTCGTGGGAGGAGGAGATCAGAGTAAACACTAAACTAATTTACTTGTCCATAAAGTTTGTTTATTGGCAAACTGTGCTCGGATTGTTTATTCAATTTATGGCATTATTTTTATGCATTCTCAGCGTTTTTGTTGCACTTAATGAACAACAGACACGGCGGTGGTCTGGTGTTTACACTTGGCATTAAGACTGGAAAAACAAAGGAAATAGCCAGAAATTCCAGTACGAAGAAAAAAGTACCTACTTGGGAGTGGCAGAAGAAACTACAATCTTGATCTACAATTGAAGTTTTTTGCTTGGAGTGAAACGCAGCCCCCGAAATTGTCATCATAAAAACTTCATAATTAAGATGAATGCGTGCGAGAGATGGGGCTGGAGCTGAGCCCAAGCATGACTTCATGCTGAACTGCCTCCGAGTGGCATCCGCAGAAACACACAAAAATAAAAATTAAAAAAAAACAGCAACGAAATATAGTTGTATACAAGAAATGAAATGTTTAGCTGGCAACAAAATACTGACAGCTCACAAACACATGGACACATGCTTAACTTAACTAAAGTGGATACACACACACACACACACACATGGATCGCACATGCACGAGTATATATGTATGCTCTATATTGGGTATGGTATATACTACTCGTACTCGCTGTGCACTTGATAAACAATTGGCTGGCCTACATCATGTACTCGAACAACACACAACAAAAGATTTGAGAGGCGAGTGCAAGAGTGGGGGGATGTCAGTCAGTGCCCCGCACGTTTCGATAATTTCGAATCATTTAATTAAGTCCAGGCGTGGCAGCAGTCCACTGCTGATTTTCACGATTCTCCCCGGAACTTTCAATTAATCGAGAAGCCCAGGAGCCCTGAAAGATTCCCGAAAAACTAATTTAAGATCACTTTGATTTACAGTACTCGTAGTGCACCCCTTCTGGGACTACGCCCTTGTGCGCCTCGCTATACGTAGAAAACGAATAAACAAAAAAAAAAGCTTTGTGGGCGGAGCCAAATCGGCAAACGAATGAATCCAGCCAACGGTTTGGGCAGTCGGTCGTCGTATATGGGGAGGGAGAATTGGGACCGGACCCTGCCACTCGTCTCTCCACATATCGCCTAATCGATGGATTATTTAATTGTAATTGGTAATAAAAAATGCAAATTCAGCTCTCGGTACATGTGTAATGTGAGGTATGGCATGGTATGGGAGGACGGAAGCATTTGACGCCGAAAGTACATGCAAATGAAGCGAGGCTTGGATTACTCCTGAACTCGATTGGGTAAACATGGAACTCCATTTACCGCCTGTTGCACACAATCTGAGGGTACCGACTGACGGTCAGACACGAGTACTTCGTTTATTTCTTCATTATTTTATTATTTTCTTGAAAGAAACCATAGCACAGCACAATAAACACTTGAGAGAATGGGCCACCGCCACCGCGTTGCCTTTTAGGGCACATCAAAAAAGTGATCGTGACCATTGCCGGCCCACATTAGAAAATCGTTTTTCGAAAACTTCGTTCTGGCGATGATGTCACAGTTCGAGTGTTAATTCAAAATTTTAATCATTTATCAAATGCAATTCAATCAATTTATTAGCTGCCGGCGACGTCATTAAAACAAAGGAGGATTTTGTATTATATATTTTTTGTTGCTTTCGCCGTGGGCGCCGTTTTTCTGCAGTTTTTTAACCTTGATTTGACGTTAAATGTTTTAAAACTTGTTTTCACTGCCGCAGTGGCTGTTGCTGTTGAGTGGGCTGGAAGTGAGCAAGCTGATCTCTGCAACTGCGGTTTTACTCATTCCTTTTTTTTTGATGCATTACACACATGATTCATTCACCGTAACTAATAATAAATTAAAATCTCTCCGCGACTCATCAGCTTAAGCCATGTCACAGCACAGCATCACTCCGTCCTGATTTACATAATCGTTGGATGATTCATCGATTTGGGTTTTTGGAAACACCTCGGGGGTATTTCAAATTTCGGTTTTCGGACTATTTTCTAAAATTCTTCATTTTTAATTTTTGTTTTGTGTAGCACTATGGCACGCACGTTACCTTCTTGTTGCAAATTCAGCGAACGAATGAGGCATTGGCGGGCCGTCTAAATAAAACGGCCGCTGATCGTTCGAGGGCTTTCCGATCGATAGATGCGCTATCGATAGTCGGCAAAAGCTTCCATTTTCGGTCGGTCACGAGTAGCACGAGAGCGCCACTGTGCGGCACATTTTGTATTGCGTAGAAACAAACCACAACATACCTCAGGGGTTTTTTAGCACTACGGAAATAACAGAAATTTTGGTTTAAGTTTAATCCACAATGCTAGTCATCGGCAATAATAATTCAAAAGCCATATCACTGAAAATGTCTTTTAATATATTGTAGAGTAACGTATAAAAGTTCTAAATATTTGCACAAAAGGAAACAAGGTTAAAACATCTCAAGATGTGGCTACAAAGAAAATAACGAATAAATGCTAAATTAACCCGACTCTTAAGTGGAATAAGTATGTTTGTATTTCGATGCAGACGCAGACTAGCCGACAGACTTCATTTGGTAACAAAGAGGCCATTCCGAACGAGCTCGATGAGTCCCAGCTTTTGAGAACACCAATAAAGCAAGCCCATCATGATGAGCGCCTTGCAAATACGATCCAGGCAATACAAGCTGCAATTTGGATGGTTTAGCGAGCTTCATATAAAAGGAGAATAATTACTGACAATCTCAGCTGTATGCGCGCCTTGGGCAAGGAGGTGAGGGGCTCCTTCATCACATACTGGCGACCGCCCAAAATGCTGTGCTTCATGTACTCAAAGTCGTCAATATCGTCGCTGTTGATCTTGAAGCTAGATTGGATTGGATATCGCATTGGACAGATCATGGGGTAAAGGTGTTATTTTGTTTGGCTTACATTTGCCGATCTGTTTCTCCCAATTCCTGATAGATCTGCTCGAAATGCGTCGACCTGAAGTCCCAGTTGCGCGTGGTGAAGAATTGCAGCACCTCCAGACCCATAGAGACCTTCGTCTGTACCCGGACCATGCTAAACGAAAGGGGATCAGTGAGTACACCATCTGGGGCGGGACAGGACAGTGGGAATCACTTACAAGCGACGCTGTCCGAAGATGAGGAGCAGAAAGTCAATGATGTAGGCTGGCAGCCACATGAACATGATGGTGCAGAAGGTGTGGTACAATTTGCTGGACGTCATATTGCCATCCGGATACCAGAGTCCTGCGTCGAACGGATACGTCTTGCCGAGATCACGGCCCACGTCCATTACCCACTTCCAGGTGCGTTTTTTGGCATCGCCCACGGTTAGATTGTAGACTGGTATCTGAAGGGGCCTGTGATGAAGGCAGGCTACATTAATATTAGCCCATGGTGGGACGACCCTTAAGACTTACCTCTGCTCCACGAAACTGTTGTGGTAGGGCAGCAAAATCAAACCGTTGATGGCTATATCCACTGGTATGACCTCCGATCTCAGGTCGCCATTGCATATCATGGATCGAATGACGCCCTTGCCGGCTCCAATGAGCACGCCCGTGGGTCCGTTCATGTTGTCCACCCAACCCTGCAGGGGCTCAGCCAGAGCGGGCGTTACTGGTAGAACAGAAAATAAGTCAACAATTCGAACAGTTGCGCAGCTTAAGCACTACAAGTATCAATGGGAGGGGCAGGCAGAGCAAAACAACACGGGCTGGAGATAGATGTGTATGTACAACAACCTAGAATCATATTTATTTGGAATCATAACCTCGAATATGCGTAACTATGACTAAGACTTTTGACTAAGTAAATGCCTGTGACCACCAAACCAATGAGAGAATCCAGAATCAGAATCAAGAATCCAGAATCCAGAATCCTTGGTATCAAAACAGGGCCAACACCCCCGTCCACTTGAGGACATAGTATAGGAACAGACCCACAATGACAGTCTTGCACACGACATCCACTACATATTGGCTGCAAAGGGGAGGAACAAATCAGAGTTAGATGGCGTTGGCGTTCACTGTGTTCACTGTGCAGGATCACTCACATCTTCATGTGCAGGCGAGCAGAGGGCAGGTCCTCATCCTTCTCCTTGAGTATGAACTTGCGAGCCCCGAGGGCACACTGCACCATGTAATCGTCTTCGGTCTCCTTGACGTGCATGTTCATGTTGAAGCTGCCATGGGAAGGAAGGAAGGAAGGAAAGAAGATTAGCACAGACTTTAATGTCGCACCCTGAGCTACTTACATCGCCTTGTCCTCCTCGTTGAGTTTGTCCCACAAGGAGCAGTACATTTCGGAGCGGAAGGACCAGGCCGTGAGTGTGAAGAACTGAAGTACGCCCAGGCCCGTCGAGATCTTCTCCTGCACTCTCACCATGCTAAAAGGGAGAGCAGAGTCAGTCAGTTCTGGACAGGGCTTTCAAGAATAATACTCACAATCTCTTTTGGCCAAACAGGAGCAGAAGGAAGTCGAGGAAGTAGGCGGGCAGCCAGTGGAAGAGCGCCACATTAATGTTGTGATAAATTTTGTTGGTGGTCACACAGGGGTCCGGGTACCAGAGGCCTGCGTTGAGGGGTATCTGTTTGTTGATGCGCTTGCTCAGCTCCACCACGGTGCCCATGGTCATCTTCCTGTGATCCGCATTGGTGATGTTGTAGACGGGCACCTGGGAGGGGCGCTTGGCCTGCTTGTTGAACTCGTAGGGGATCACGATGAGCCCGTTGATGGCATAGTCCACGGGTATGACCTCTGCCTTGTACTCCTGATTGACCAGCACGGACCGGATGACGCCCTTGCCGCAGCCGATCATCAGACCCGTGGGTCCATTCATATTGTCCACCCAACCGGAAATCGGCTCATAGGCAGCGGGCGACACTGGGGGGAAGAGGCGAAGGAGTCCGGTTAGTGGCGGCGGGCGGGTGGATGATGGAGATTCGATTCCATTCCAAGTGATTGATTGATTGACTCTACATACCACGAAAGCCCCGAGAGGATGATGATCACCGAAGCCGTATTAAGTGTGTGTGTGTGTGTGTGTGAGTATTTGTTTGTTTGTTTGTGTGTGAGTGTGAATGGAGTTTGAGTTTGCCCTGCTGAATGGATGAATGGATGAATGAATATATATGAATATATATGAATATAGTCTTGTATATTCTCGTGTAAACAGGGAAAGAGGGTGTGGGGGGGATGGGTCTTTGTGTCTGCTTTTGTGGGGAGTTTGTAGTTCTGTTTGTGTTGTTTGTGTTGTCTCTGGAGCGGATGGTCCTCAGCACTGGATCAACACTTGGATACTTGGAACACATACACAGACACATAACACATACATATATTTTGTTTTATTTTGTTTTGTTTTTTTATGGATTTTTTTTTTTTGTTTTGTTTTGATTTTTGTTTTGTTTTGATTTTTGTTTTGATTTTTGTTTTATTTCACATGAAACATAAAAGATCACTTAAACTAGAAATGAAAACCAAATCCGAGGCTCGAGTGCCTCGAAAGTGTGTGCCCCAAAGCGAACCTAAGCAGAGATTGAGATTGATTTGATTGAGGAATGCGCGCAAATGAATTTGAGAATTGTTTGGTCCGACTCGAAGCCGAAGTCGAAGTCGAAGTCGGGAGGAGTCGGAGGCCACCACCTTAGATGCCCAAGAGACGTGCCACCACACCGTAGGTCCAGTAGCACAGGGAGCCCACGATGACCGTCTTGCACACGCGATCCAAGATGTACATGCTAAAATTGAAATAGATCAGAGTTCTGTTCTGGGCAACTGGAACCTGGAGCGGGGGGAACTCTCTTACAGCTTCAGCTGCAGCCGGGCACGTGGCAGGCTGTCGGGCGACTCCTTCATCAGATACTGCCGCCCGCCCACGACACACGACTCGATGTACATGGGCACAGTCTCGACGGGGTCCATGTCCATGTTGAAGCTTTTGAGTGAATCGAATCGCATTTCATTTCATTTAGTCAACGTCAGCCAACCATTTACACTTTACTCTCTACTCCTCCGTACTCTGCGTGTACATACTTTTTCTTGTCCACATCGTTCATGATGTTCCAAAGGGACGAGTAGGCGTCCGATTTGAAGAACCAGGCCCTCATCGTGAAGAACTGCAGGACCTCGAGACCCACAGAGATGCGGTTCTGGACACGGACCATACTAGGCGAAGGGGAGAAACGAGGAGAGTCAGGCGAGGCTGGCTGGCTGTGCTGGCTGGGCTGGCTGGGCCCTGGCGACACTTACAATCTCTTCTGGCCGAGCAGCAGCAGCATAAAGTCGATGAAGTAAGCGGGCAGCCAGTGGAAGAGCAGCACGTTGATGTTGTGGTGCAGCTTGTTGGTGGTGATGCACCCGTCCGGATACCAGAGGCCCGCCTCGAACGGGTAGCGATAGCCAATGTCTTTGCTCATCTCGATCACCTCGCCCCACTGCATCTTGCGGTGGTCGGCACACGTGATATTGTACACGGGCACCTCCGCGGGCTTCTCCTTCAGCCCGGTGAACTGGTAGGGGATCACGCACAGCCCATTGATGGCGTAGTCCACCGGTATCACCTCGGAGAGGAAGCGCGTGTCGATCAGCATCGAGCGGATGACGCCCTTGCCAGCGCCCACTATCAGGCCGGTTGGTCCATTCAGATTGTCCACCCATCCGGGCACGGGCTCGTAGGCCGATGGCGACACTGATGCGATGCAGTGAACGGTGGGAATCAGTCTGGACTGGGATACGGGGGGATTGGATTCCGAGCAGTTTGTATGCGTGCTGTGCTGTGCTGTGCTTTGCCGCTCAGACAACAGGAGCCGCAACAGACAACAGGCAGAGTCTTGGGCTGGGCTGGGTCTTGGACGGAGGCGAAGGCGGATGCGATTGCGGATGCGAAGGCATGGCTGTGGCAGCGTGAGTGATCAGGCGGGGTGGGGCGGTGGTGGTTAAGCGAGGCTGATTGTTGTTGTTGTTGTTGTTTTTGTTGTTTGCATTGCATGCTCATTGAACTTTTTGGTCAATGACGATGGATGCCGTTTGTGTGCTGTGGTTTCTGTTTCAGTTGTTGTTGTTGTTGTTTTTTAAGCAATGTTTTTAACCATGTGCCATGCCATGTAATTTAACTTTTTCTTTTTCTTTTTGTTTGGTTTTTATTTTTGTTTTAAGCGCTGTATTTGTTTGCTGTGATTTCTGTTTCTGTTTACACACATTGGTTGTATTTGTTGCTGATTTTGTTGCCGTGGCTGTTGTTGTTTTCTTAAAGAGAAGCTTCTCAGCAGAAGAAGAATCTTCAGCGGTGGTGGTGGCGGTGGCGGTGGCGGTGGCAGGGGTGGAGACACAAGCGCAATGGGGGCAGGCAGGGCAAGTAAAGGACAGGAGCATAACGAGGTGGTCGGGTTGTCATTAAAAATACACATAAAGCATAAAAAACACACACACAGTTGACCAATTAGCATGAAGCATCTTAAATGTAGCCCCTGAACAGCCCGACCAACCCTGGCCACTCCCCCGTCCAGCCCAACCCAACCGCCTCGGACATCATTCATCAACATGGAATCGCTAAAAAGCTGCAATTTTGGGCGAACTTTGCCATGTTGCCAGTTGATTGGCAAAAATGAAGACGCTATTTACCGAACTAGGCGGGTCATCGATGCCTTGAACCCAGTCGGATGTACTAACAGACGGAGACAGATTCTAGACAGAGGCGTAACTAGTTAGGCACTTGGCAAGTGAAGTGCCTGCAGTCGCAGTTGAATTCGCAAGCCGTTGATTACTCGATATAAAGAGGGCATTCCGTAGAGGAAATTCCCATCGAAAGGGCTCTTTGAACCAGTTAAAGTTGAAGCGTACTTGGGTCTAGCTGGGGGAACGAAGGCGTATTACATATAATGCGGTAATTGAAACACGTTTTCTGTAGATTAATTGAACCTTTGGCTTTGGGGCAATTTCAGTGTTAAAGTTTTTCATTTATACAATCGGACTGTATACGTCGATGAGCAGAAAGGGCGATACTGATTAAGTATAGGTCGTATTACGTACGTTTAATCAACATTAATGGCAACTGGCAACCAATAAATGCGATTTTTACTGCGATTTTGTATGCATGTATATATGTATGTAGATGTAATTATACATTGGCCAATAGGCCAATTTCAAAACTAAAGACGTTCCCTCTCTAATGCGTCTTTTCTCAGATGTATATACAGCATCTACCTATCTTTTTATCAGGTTTTTGAACAAAATTCGCAATCGAAAAGTTTAATTGGCAGACAAATCGTAAAGTTTGCAAAGACATTCAAAAAAACATATCAGCAGGTGGCCAGAGAAAAGCATAAGCAATTGGCCCCAGGGAACCGTAGACATAGACCCCAGACACAATAATAGACATATACACAGACATAGGACCGAAGGCAAGTTAAGCGGAGGCGCAAGATTAGTTAGCAGCAGCAGCAGCAGCAGGAGCAGCACTGGCAGCTGGTGGCAGGGCAGCGAGTACAATTTCCCAGTTTCCAGTTTCCATTTCGATGGCAGCAGCCCCCAGGCATAGCCATAGACATGGAAAATTAATGACATAAATAAATCTTATATAGTAAAGCTGCAAGCCAAAGCAACCAGACAGCAGATAGCAGACAGCAGACAGCAGACAGATGTAGCGGGTAGAAGCCGTATTGGGCCTGGGCCAAAAGGGTCACTTACCGATGCTGGGACGTGCAATGATCACCGGCATGCTCTCGTAGTGGTCGCGCACCAGGATCTCGGCCAGGCGCTTCGAGTAGGTGTAGGTGTTTGGGTGCGGCTTGAGCAGATCGGGCGTGATGGTGTCCAGAGTCTTCACATCCATCCACTCGGCCATGCGAATGAGATCCTCGGGCTTGTGGGGGAACTCGTAGACCTTCTCGTACATCACCTCCTGGTCGCAGTTGCAGAAGGCCGTCGACAGATGGATGAAGGCCTCCAGGTGCTTCATCTCCTTGGCCACTGCCAGGGCGCGCTTGGTGCCCACCAGATTCATGTCGATGGCGTCCCGCAGATTGCCCTCCAGCTTGAGGGTGGCCGCCATATGAAACACGATGTTGGTGTTCTCCGTCACATGCTTCAGGCTCTCTCCGCTCAGGCCCAGCACTGAAATTTAAACAGCGGAGGATCAGAGCTGTTCAGATCGGACCGGACCGGACCGGATCGAACTCGGTTGCAGTACTTACAGTCAAAGGTAACGTCGCCCTGGTAGATGGTCACCTTCTTGAGCATGTGGGGGCGCTCGTCCCTGATGCGCTGGAAGATGGGCAGCTTGTACATCTCCTCCAGACGCGACTCTGGGCTCTTGCCGCGCTTCGGGCGACAGATGATGATCACCTCCTTGAGCGAGTGGCAGGAGTAGAGCAGTTTCTCCAGCAGCACCTTGCCCATGAACCCAGACGCTCCAGTAATGAAGATCGTCTTGTCCTTGTAGTACTCCTGCACGGGCGATAGATCCACCGTCATCTTGCTGCAACAAACAACGGGAGGGATGGAGAGAGTGGGGGGATTGGGTATTAGCACACTGGATGGCCTATAATTGGTGGATGTTGCAAGAAGCATTCCGGGAACGGCAAAAACCAGTCAAAGGAAAACTCGCAATCGACTCGCAGAGTGTCGCAAGCAGCTGGAAAAACTGGGGCTAATTCTGTGCCGTGCCGCAGCTGCCCGATTGTGGCACGCGTGCCCCTCTTGCCACAAAACCACCTGCTGCAAACGGGTTTCGGATTGGACTTTCAGTTTCTATTTGGATTTTCGATTGCGCCTGCACTGTGGATTCGCATTTCTTTGCGGCATTATGCAATGGCCCCGGGGGGGTGGGTAGGGGGTAGCAGGCTGTGGTTTTCATATCGCCCCCACTCCACTCCACTCTGCTCGGACGGGGACTGTTGCAAGTTGCCGTTGCCGTCGCCGTTGCCCAATCTCCATTTGGCTTGAATTGCAGCCGCGCGCGTTACACTTGGCCACATCCGTGTGTCTCCACCTCTGGGCGATCCCCGCCTGATCTCAGAGCACGCCCTGCACTTTGGCCATGTCATGACATTTCATGCAACACCGAACGGACGTATTTGTTTGCCATCCGCCCAAGCATAACCCATAAATCATAGCCCATAGCCATATCCATATCCATATCCACATCCACATCAAAATCTCTAGCTGTATCCCCTTCAAGCTAAGTGTTTAGTGTTTGGGGGGGGAGCTCTTTGGCGATGAAATTGCAATGAAAGCATGACACTGCACCTCTGCAGCACTACACCTTGAACTACACAGACTCGAGGCAGAGCTGAAGCTTAGCCACAGCCAGGGGCTGAGTGTTAGAGATTGGCGGCTGTGTCTGTGGCTGTGGCTGTTGCTGACGTTGGAACTTGGCTAAGCGGCAAATTGCGGTTCTCCTTCATCACTTAGCACCTGGCTTTGGGGGGCTTGTTACCTAGCCTCAGTTTCGGGGTTTATTGCCAATTAAAACGCGTCTGCCGAATGTGTGAAGCCAGCAAGAGCAACCAGCCAACAGCCAACAGTCAGCAGTCGACAGCTGCTGGTGGTGCCTGCAACTTATGCAATCCGCGCAGCACACATTGAGCCAAATTTCGAGAGCCACAAATAGAGCCAGCCAGGTCGAGCAAGTTGTCAAAGCCAAAATCATCAGCATAACAACACACAAGCTCAAGCTAAAACAACAACGAAGCTGCGACGGACGCGTCGCGTCGCGTCTCGTCGCGGCTGTCAGCAAACAAAACACAAAAGACTTGGACAACGAACTTGAGGGCGATGCTTGACAGAAAGCCGCCAAAGGAGCGGAAATGGCACGGAAGGAAGTTATATTTAAACGGAAGGCAAGAATGGATAGCCAATGGAGGAAAATGGCACAATTTAAGCTAGTTAAAAGAAGAACTCAGTGGGATTAAAAGTAAATTTACAATTAATGCAGAACATATTTGTTTAGTTTGAGTTTGTAGAACACTTGGGAAAGTTTTGGTTATCTTTCTAGGCCATTTTTCTTGCTAGCTTAAAGCTCGTTAATATTTCAATATTTAGGTTTACTCAAATCAATCACCCTGAAACTTGTTTCTAGCCAAGACAACACCACAGTGAAATTTTGTTAACGAGTTTGCATCTCAAGAGCTGCTTGGTTGACAAACTTACGCGTATTGTAATGTTTTTGGAAAATAACTGACCCTATTAATAGCGACAATATCTATATAAATGTATGCTATTTGGACTCGCTCCTAAGATTTGTCATATTTTCAAAAGAGCACCCCCCAAACCGGTTGGGTTACCCATTTATTTTCAAGTATAAACATTTTTTAATCTTTGTGTGTCTGGCTGCCTAGCCCAGCTTCCTCTTGTTTGCATATTGCAAATGCTGAAATTGAAGTCGCATTTTTATTAAAATTGCTGCCTCAGAACTGGCTATCGATGATAGATGGAGTGGGTCCATTAAAACGATCGAATGTGCATTACCCAGTCCGCCAATTTGTCTGTCTATGCGTCTGCTGTTGCAGCTAATAAGCACAGCTACATGAGTGATAGATTGAGTGAATGGCTGACTGATTGACCTCTGGGCTAAGGCTTCTGCCACGAGCTGGAGAGCTCAAGCGGCGATCGTGGGTTTGTGTAGGATCATTAAGAAATCCACTTGAGGCTCTGGCTCTGGCATTAAAACATGAAGTCGAACAAATTTTAAATCTTTGGCAATTCTTCCATTCCATTCCCCCATTTGGCCTTTGGTGGCAGGTCTCACAATAATATCTGACACAAATATAAAAAAATAAATATATTTAGGAAAAAAACCCCCCTGAATATTTAAATTGCTTTTTGTATCGGATCAGCCATTGGCCATTGATACAAATGAGATGAAGCCAAGACGGGCATAAAATTAACAGAGCGACAACGCAACGCAACGCAACGCCAGGCAAGGCAAGGCAAGGCAACGTTTAAGCTCCGAATCAAATTTATGCAAAGGGCTGCCCCTCCCTCGCCACTCGCGGAAGTTTACCAGCGTAATGTGTGTATAAATATTTAAATATTTTGAAGATCCAGTGCGGCAGGTCATGACACGACCCTGACACACACAGACACACGCACACGCGGAGACTTGGAGATCCGTCGCAGTAGAGCAGTAGAGCCAGCTTGATTATAAAAATATGCTTATATAATCTCCAATTAAACGCTTCGCTGGGCAGGTAAATGTTTCAAATTGCTGCTATTGCTACTGCTGCTGCTTCTGCTGCCTGCCTGCCTGCTAACAATTGCAGACCAATTGCCCCGAAAAGCGAAAGACAATACCTCAATCAAAAGACAACTACATATCTATCTGCAGATCCGACAGTGGAGGTGGCGAATTTTTTGGATGCATTCAAGTGTTTCAATTACCTCTAGTGTTTGGGATTCTTCTCTTCAATTAAAACGCTTGCAATATCGTTGAAACAAACACGTCACACACGAACGCGATTCGATGCAATGCGAGACTGGAGACTGCCGCGGAGTGAGACGGTTCGGATCAGATCGGGTCGAATCGAATCGGATCGGATCGGATCGAGATGGAGACTGGGAGAATGTACGATGTGCACGCTACGACACTCGACAGAAGACTGAACGCGGCCAGGCCAATGCTTGCCAATATGAATAGCTCGCGGAATGGGCTGGCCTGGTGTGGGGGCTCTGCGGCTCTGGCCCAACTGGTTGATGTTGAGGTTGAGGCACTCGCTCTGGGATGTGGCAAACCAAAGCGAAATGAGGCGAAATCCACATGGCCTGCCTGGGGGAAGGTGTTTGTTGGTACAGAAACCCATATATCTATTAGTTTTGACCAGGTATCAGGTCTCGGCTGTCCAAGTGCTGGGAAAGTGTTCCCTTTCGGCACTTTGTCGCGGCTAAAACATTCCCACATCCCAGGGCATATGTAAACATATTTGATGGACAATTAGGTGCGCAATTTGGCCGAGATTTTATTGGCTTTGCAGCATTGTTTGAACTCTGACGCGGGCTCTAGATAAATTTGCATGCATATTTGGGTCATTATAGATGCAAAATTAGCCATGGTCGGTCGGATTCGGTCTCCATTACACAATGGCCAGCGCTTTGCATTCGCTTGCTGCTGCGACTGTGGCTGTTGTGATTTCCATTTTGCTGAAACTAATTAGGTGGTTATCAATCTCCTATGCAAATTGCTGTCTTTCCCAATATTGCGAATATACCTAATCAATGCTTATGCTTTTTCCTCTGCTTTTTGCAAATTGGCAAAACATAAATTCAGCACATTGCCAATATTGTTGCAAAAATGAATATACAAGTCCGTTATTATTGCTAATTCAAATATTCAAAAAGCCGCCACATCCACATTACTTCATAGTGCGATGGCACTAATCGATAGCATGTGTATCGATGTCTATTCCAACATATCTATCGAAGTTCAGTGGTAAAAATCGCTCTGTGTGTTGAAAGAGACAAAAAATCATCTTTTTCCCCTCTAGTTACGTCACATATTTTTAGAATCTATACTAAAAAATTTTCGTCATGTCATGGAATAGATTAAAGCAGTCTGCTATTCTAAATTAATTTTACATGGCCTTTGATTGCACAGTGGCGCCACAAATTCTTAAGCTGCTATCGATAGTGCTATCAGTAGTTCCCCGCCTCTACCAACTCAACGTGCTAAGTTCGCTGTCGCAAATTTTTGTTCCAAATTTTAATTGCAAAACATGGCCGAACTTGATGACTTTTTCGCGAAAAAGGATAAGAAGAAGTCTAAGAACAAGACCAAGTTTGTGACCGCCGACGAATTGGTCAAGAACCTCGAAGACAACACGAAACGGGAAGTGGTCAAGCCAAAAAAACCCGAACCCGCAGCAGCAGCTGCAGTAGACGATGGCGGCGTGGCAGTAGTAGGCGAAAACGAGACCGACACCAAGGTGCCAGAGTCCGTAGCGGTAAGCCTGGTGAAATCACAAAGTTAATTAATTGATTACAACTGCTGTCGTTTGTTTTCGTGTGCAGCCCGTCGAAGAGGAGTGGAATGAGGTGGAGCCTGAGCAGCGAAAGGATTACAGCGGGCTGAAGATTGGCCAGCTGAGCTCAAAGTGAGTTTCCATTCTGCTTGTGCATGTGTGCGTATGCGTCCAATTAAGTGGACAATGGCGATCTTTGCAAGCTGCAGTCGCGTGATTCCAACGCAGCGAACAACTTCTCTCCCAGCTTGAACAGTCAAAATTGCATGCTAACCACTTTTCTTCTCGTAACAGCTCTGCCAGGGAGTCCGAGGAGGCTCGGGCAGCACGGGTTGCAGCCGCTAACGACGCTGGCAACTACGATGAAGACGACGATGATGATAGCAATGGCTATGAAAACGTGCAGGGCGGAAAGAGCGGTGGTGGCGGGGGCGGCGGCGGCGGCGGGAAGAAACCCTGGAAGAAACTTATAGCTGCCGAGGATGTTACGCAAATCCCAGTGCCGGTGGAGGTTGAAAAGTCATCCTCGAAACCCTATATTTCACCCGCGTTACGTTACAGCGTAAGTAGCGATCACCTGACCGCATTGATCATTAATCGATTTAGCATGTTACCCTTTCGTTTTCCAATTGAAATTTGCAGCAAATCAGTGGGCTAGGAAGTGGAATTGGCGGTGGACCGCGTACGCGACGCACTGCTCCGGACATCACCAATACTGAGTTCTTCCCGACGCTCAGTGCAGCGCGCCCGGAAGAACAGCGAAAGAAGAAAAACGAACCCGCCTTCGAAGAAGTCCGTCACGGCGGACGCTTTCAGCGCGTGCAGGAGCCGACATCCGCACCAGTGGCGGCTACCAATCGATTCCAGTCGCTCGACGATGAAGCGGACAGCTAGGTGCCAGCTCCTGCCGAGGCTGTTGCTACCCCAAGAAACCGTTTTCTACCACTGTGTCCACTGCTGAGCTCGCCGCAACAATCGGCAGCAAGTCATTTACAAGTTCGTAGTGTACGCACGCATATGTCAACTTTTTCTAGGCTTCTTGATTCATCTTTGCCACCTCCTGCTACTGCTACTCCTAATCCCTATACCACATACACTATTGTTCATTTCGTTTTGCATTTTTGAAGTATGGAGTCAATGTAATAGAATATGAATAATAGCCATGCGTTGAAATCCGTTTATAAACGTTACTTTTGTATAACCTCGCCGGCTCTCGTTTTGTGTTAATCATCGTCGACAAGGTCCTCCGGACGGCTGTCACTATAGCTGCAAGAGAGTGCACATCAGTAAGAGAGGTCGTCTTTGGCCGAAATGGCGGGATCCCGCACTGACTTCTCACTGTACGGCTGCTCGGGCGTGTTGTGGTACGCACTCAGCTGCGGCTTGGCAAGCATCTTCTCTGGAAAGTTCCGTATTAGGTATAGCCAGCACTCCATTGGTCTGCAACAACACACAGACAGGGATTACGTCAGTGGAACATTTGTGCGACCAGATGCTCACCCGTCTACTTCCGTCCGTATGGTCTGCTGCTCACGATCGTAGTAGTTGGGGTAGTCCTCCAGCTGGTCCAACTTGGAGAACATGGCCTCGTCCACCTCATAGATCTCGCCCTGTATGTTGTGGCCATCGCCGGGCCTGGCCAAAAGGAATGGAATGTTGTACCGGGTACCCACAACCAGTGGAAACTTCACCGCCGTTGTCCCACGGCCCAGAAATCGTGCCTGGCCGTTCTCCTTTTTGGTCAGCCAGTGATGGTTTGGCTCCCCGCTCTTCAGCGTGCCGTACACAAAGACTCTCGCTGACATTCTTAGCATTAGAAGTGTGCTTTTCCGCTGGGCTTATCAGTTGCGCGGGCTAACTTGTTCATCTACGTCGACCCAAATTGTTGTCCAGTCGTCGCAACCCATTCGCTCTTCTTCTTGTTGGCAGTCGTTTGCCATTCGCCGCGCGACTTGTTGCCGTGCACTGGGAGAAATCGGCGTTATCGCATGGCGGGGAAGAGGAAAATTACTGTGTGTGGAGCCATATCATATGTCCATATTTATGTTTATATAACATCATCGATTAAATTTTCTTCGAATTGCTTCAGTTTTATTTGCTTTTGTTTGTCGAAAACTTATGAAATTACAAACTACGTTCGCTAAAATCTAGTTAATGCGTACAGTACATATCATTGTATATATCAATTGCCCATAAATGTATATATGTGTATATATCGATCTGATAAGTCTGTTTCCCCAGGGGGAATCAATATTGTACGGTCTACAAATGCATCTACCGGTAACTTTATATTAATAATTGGCCAGGCTTCCCAGAGCACATCACATCCCAATGGAGAAACCACTTAGTTTTGGGCCTCATAGGTCAGATCGTCCTGGGCCGGATGCTTGTGGGTGCGGCGGTGGCGCATGATGTACGGGTGGGTGGAGCTGTTCTCGTAGCTGGACAAATACTGCAGGGACAGCAGTTTCTCCGGATACTTCTGCAGAAGATAGACCCAGCAAGGGATGGTGCTGCAAACAAGTGAAATAATTTGAAGTACGTAAATAAACGTCGATCAGATGAATGACGTCAATGCTCACCCCTCGCCCACGCCGATGTTCATGTCCTGCTTCTCGCGCGTGTAGATATCTTCGCAGTCCTCGAGGTTGTCCAGGGAGTTGAGCATACGGTCGTCCACTTCGTAGATCTCACCGGTTACATAATAGCCGATGCCCGGCTTGTTGAGCAGGAAGGGAATGTTGTAGCGCGTGGCAATGACCAGCGGCAGCTTCTCTGTGGTGGTGGCCCTGCACCAGAACTTGGCAAATCCGTTGCTAGAACTGGCGAGGATGGAGTTGCTCGGCTGTCCGTACTTCAGAGCTCCGTAGACGAAAAGTTTGCTCAAAGCAGTTGATGCTTTCTGTGTGGGTGTGGGTGTGGGTGTGGCAGAGCAGAAGTAAGGTTAGGTTAAATATCTGATTTGCAGAGTTTAAAGAAGAGTGGCAGCTGGGCGACAGGCTTATATTCTGCTATATTAATATCGAAACCTTAAGCAAGCTTATCACTGATCTGAGTATTTTCCATTCTTTAATGCCCCCTACCAACTTGCTGATAACGCGCCACACACGAGCAAGACGTCTCCGTTTCGGCGATTATATTCGGTCGTTTCGTATTTATTTATAAAATTTGTGCCGCGTTGTTCTGTTGCCGGAGAAGATGAGTGTATGGCGTTGGTTGGTTAAACCGGTTTGGTGCATTCACACTTGTTTTGTTGTTTGTTATAGCCCCATTGTGTTATTGTGGACAATATAGAGATATTTTTGGTTTCGTTCCTCCAAAACTGCGCAGCAGCTACATACGCCTCCGTCAAACAAGAACAAACACATGTACATACATGTCCATATGTATCTATATAGTATATGTATGTGCGCGTGATTAGGTGCATAAATAATTGCTTAAGTCGGTCTAATCATTTACTGTAAATGAAAGCCACACGCTATTGCTAGACAACCTATTATCCGGCCTTCAATCAATGTCATTACTAAATGAACCGTTGCATTGAGGCATCTGCTTACATAACTCTCAGAACAAACGCACACATAAAATGTACACCCATACATGCATTAGATTAGAATATTAGGTGATAAAATTTCAAGATAACATTAAGAACAGCACTTTCACGAATTGAAATTTCATCTTGAATTGAGGTTTTCCCACGCTTTCTTCCTTTTTGGGGCTGCCAACTTTCCAAAGCCAAAGGACAACAGGATATGCATATGTATAAGCATATGAATGTGTGTGTGCGTGAACGCCATCTCTTTTACGTACCTTGACTTGGCCCATTTTTTGCTTTTATCACGTTTCTTCTTTTTCAGCAGGCTGCCTTTTAAGTTAATTAAAATTGCAAATTGCTGCAGTTGGCAAGAGAGACAAAAAATCTACGCTCCTCAGGATGTGCGGAAAAAGAGCACCAGCTAAAAAGTCGAACCGCGCCGTTGGAAAGCAAAACTCCAACTAAAACGCGACGGAGAACACAAGTGGTACTGGCCGCTTTTTCTGTTGGGGCCCGTCGGTCCGTCCCCCTCCAACAACAACAATATGAAAACACGCCACACGCGCGCCTTTAAAAACGCCAACGCCTCCGTCGACGTCGCTGCCGATGTCAATTCTTTATCTAACAAATAATACCCTGCAGACAGCCAGGGTGTGTATTAGTTCAAAACTAGTCGAATTTTAATATACATTTTACAAAAATGGTCTTATCGGATAAACAAGACAACACATACAGGCAAACAGGTAGCTGTCCCTTTCACTCTCAGTGGCTTCCATGGAAGTCGAACAACCCCTTTTTGGAAACTCAGCGAAAATTTCCGCAGCTACGCCTCTGGAGCGCACGTACGCATGTTTTACTTCTCTCAGCTTAGTTTAGTCGATCAGCGTCTGATTAAAGATATAATTAATTCAAATTTTAAAGCGACGGGCCTTCCTTCCATGTGCCAGAAACAATAACAAATTCGCTTTGTAATTTGGCGTTGAATCGCTCTCTATCCATCTTTCTCTCTCTCTGTACCTCTCTCAATCTTTGGGTGCCCTACAATCATTGTGTGTGGCATATTAGTTCGAACAGCAAAGCATTCAACAGATGTTTTTTTAAGTGAAATATGTACAAATAACTTAATTATAGAATTTGCAATGGCAAATCGAAAAAAATTCGAACGACTGACGTCAGCGGCAGAGGAACTAAAAACAGACCCCGACGACTGCAGCTGTTTGTTCCCAAAGTTAATAGTCTTTGGTGCAAATGCCCTTACGGTCATAATGGTGGTTCTTGTGTCGGCAGGCACACATGTTGGGAGCGAAACAGTAGGCATGGGGTCCGCAATCGCTGCAAAGGATTCACAGATGAGAGTGGAGCCAAGATAGGGATCGGTTAACTTACTGTTGGCAGATGGGCATGCACTGCTGCCCGTGTAGCAGTGTGGCTTGGAGTTCATAGCCCTGGGCACAAATGCATTGGCCATCGTATGAGCACCGCCCGTGGGTGCAACGCCTGCAGAGGAAGCCATTAGAGATCACCTTCACTCCGGCTGCAATCAACTCACCCGTGGCAAGGGTCCAGAAGTCGTGCACCCCGATGGCGGCAATGACCGGAAAGAGTATCAAAGTAGTAGTGCTTGTCCTTCCGGCACACACACAGATCGGGGGCGGCACAGTACCCACCCGCTTCCCTACAGCCCGGCAGACACTCGGCAGCACAGATTAGTCCGTCCGGATTGCCCCCCAAATACTGATTGGCGCACGGGCAGTCGCCATCCTCAAAGCACACGCCTTCCTGGCAGACAATGTTGCAACGTCGCACACACTGTTGGGTGTTCACGATCAGCATCTCGTAGTCGGAGCACAGTGGCGGGGGCTCATTGATCTGCCAGTAGCCGTAATCATAGTAGTAGTATCCTTGGACCAATATGTGCTGTAGCACCAGTTGAATGAAGACCGTCCGTACCAGCATCTTTGACAATTGCAAATGATCTCCTGGACCTCATGGGAGTGGGCAATGAGAGTGAAAGTGTTTTCCGGAGGCGGCGCAATTTGTGTACAGAATCCATTAGTCCCGTTATTGAGGCGGTCACGATCGCCATGTGTAAACATTACGCCGATGATGCAATGGACAACTGATAACCGCTCGCCCGGAGAGCCTCTCAATCTGAATTAAAAAAAAGCATTTGCATGCAAACGATCCAACAGACGCCGGCGCCGCATTACTCATCGCAGCAGCTGCTGAGAAGAGAAAGAGAGAGACAGATCCAACTCCGACATGTATGCACACCCAAGCGAGCGCTAGAGATAGAGAGGGAGACCCAATGAGAGCGCAATTCTGGAATGTCTGGATTCCACACTCTGGCTGGCTCGGTCTTCGGTGGCGTCTCAGCTCTCACCCCCACCGCATTGCGCTGCAATTGGGGGACCCCGGCTCCGACATCGACTCCAACTCCAACTGTAGCTGCAGCTGGTTTGAATGCGCCCCATTCATTCAGTCTTTTGGGGTCCGAGAGTAATGTCGGCCTCCCAGTCCCGATCGGGCAACGGCAGCGATAAAGACAAAGTCAGCGGCACGACAGAAACGGCGACGCCTGTGCGAACGGAAGTTCAAAGTGTGGCACAAAGTTGCAAAATCGAAGGCAATCGGTGATCAGTGTGCGAATTCATTCGGATTCGAATCGCCATTGGGAAATTGGAGAACAATAAAAACGCAAACGCATCAGAGTTCTCTGTTTTCAGTGGCTTTTCTTCTCCATCCATCGACGAACGAACCGCTTCAATTGCAATTATAAATTGAATGCTTGATTCTCGTTCTCTACCCACTCCCCCCTGCGCCATTCACTGCGTGCTTGCGAGTGTGTGTGTGTGTGTATCTGTGTGTATGGGGTGAATAACATAAAACAGACAACGGGCGAAAGCATAAAATAAACAATACCATTTCGGGCGGTCAGCTGGGAGGAAGTTCTGGCCCCAGCGCTGCTGGTGGTGGCGCAGCGCAGCGGTGGTGGTGGGTGTGGGTGTGGGCCTGTGGGATGTGCCCGTTGTGGAAGTGCGTGCTCGCGCAAAGCTAATGCTTAGAATCTATTATGTATCCGACAAGTGCTGACGCGTTCGCCTTCTGACATCGCCATCGGACAATCTCTGAACTCTGCGAAAACGAATCATCCAATATGTGTTACGTTATCATCACAAGCGGCAGTCTAGTCTGGTTCCTTTGCACCCTGGTTGCGGACATGCTCATAGCGGCGGCATTGGTCACGCCCAGATGGCTGATTGGTCCCGTCCAGCACGTGGATGGGCTCTCCTCCGTCGCCAGCCAGCGCCATTCCTCCGTGGGCATCTACACCCGCTGCAAGGTGATGCACCAGGTGGGCTACCACTGTGGACGCTTTGACCTGGATGGCCTAGCCACAGACAGCAGCGTCTATCCTAGCGAGTGGAAGGCGGCCATGTTCTTCATCTCACTGGGATTCGCCCTGCTCTCCGTCACAGTTCTGCTGACTCTGCTCACTTGCTGCCGTCAGTCGGCCTTTGGCAAGAGCATCCACAACATGACCGCCTGCGCTCAGGTGGTGTCAGGTGAGGACATGCTCCACAATTTGTATACAGACGTAACATTTTATATGCTTGTATTCCAGGAATCAGCGTCATGTTGGCCCTCTTTCTGCATCCTCTGGGCTGGCGAGCGGCTCGTGTCCAGCGGTTGTGTGGTCCGGAGGCAGAACCCTTCTATCCGGCCGACTGCAGTATAGGTACTATATTGGCTTGTCCGCATATGCGAGCTAAAATTAAACCGTTCCCCCCACAGGAATCTCATTTTACTGCGGCGTCATCGGCATACTCCTCACATTCGCTGCCGCAGGCATCAGCTTAAAGGCGGAGTCCTCCAACATGCGCACGCGCGTTCGTCGACGCGTCGAGGAGGGCAGCAAGCTGGTGTGCATTCCATAGCTGTAGCGGCCCCAGAAAATTGACAACTTCCATTTAGCGGGAATACTTAACTTCATTTGCGAATTAACTGAAACTAGTATAGCATAAATAGACCTCTAACATTTCTACAATATAATGTACAACATCCGGCGGAGTGCCATTCTTTTACTTGTTTCGCTTGCCCTTGGCTTTGCCTGGCGGCTTGCCCACCACATCCGGCTGGGCCTTTGGGATGTAGACGCCGTGGTTTGTCTTCTTCAGATGCGCAAACAGTTTGTTCTTCGAGTCAAACACGAGGCGGCAGGTGACGCAAGTGTGCTGTGGCTTTGTTGGATCGTCGTCTGGATCCTCTCGCTCCTCCTTGGCCACGACTACTGCTGGTGTGGCTTTGACCTCTTTGGGTGGATCGGGCACTTGCTCAGCAGGCTTTCCCTTGGTGGTCGTTGACTTTTTGCTTTTGCTCTTCTTGGCTGACTTTTTCCCTTTGCTCCAGTCGTCTTCAGAGTCGCTCTTGGCTTGGTTAAGCTGAATAGGATCATCGGGGACATCGCTGTCCTCTTGCTGCTGTTGCTTGGCCACAGCTTTCTTTGACTTTTTGTTCTTCTTGTTCCGTTTTATCGCCGCCGAATCCTCTTCACTAAGCGCCACCTCCTCCTCTTGGGCGTCCTCCTGGTCGTCGTTTAGATGCATTTCATCCAGTGTTTCTTCGACATCATGGAGACTATCTGCGGGAGAGGCATCATTGAAGGCTTCCTCCTCGGCCTCCATCTCCTGGCGCAGACGTTCTACATTGTCTCGGTGTTTTTTGCTCTCCTCGTGATTGGCCCGCGCCTTGGCATTTTTGAACGATTTGTTGCACGCCACACAGTACAGGTCGTCCACATACTCCAGCTCATACTCGGCTTCTTCGGCATCCAAATTGCCGTTGCTGTCTGCCTCAGAGCCGTCCCCGTCTTCATCATCCTCATCCTCTTCTGTGTAGTCGTCCGAATCGCTGCCGTATGCCTGTTCCAATTGCCTAAGCTGCTCTTCGTAGCCCTCATTGTAGACTTTGTTCTCCTTGGCGGCGGCCATCTCCTCCTTGCGTTTGCGCCACTGCTCCCGACGCTTCTCCTCCTGCTTCAGCCGATTAGCCTCGGCTCGCTCCTCCAGTACACGTCTGTAGGCCAAGACACGGCGATCCCGCTTGCGCACAAAATTAACCAAATTACGAATCTGCAGAGAAATACTCGTATTAAGCAAAAATATTTCGACCGACTTGTGTGTTTCTTACCTCTTCGTTGCGCTCCTTGCGGGCGTTTTGAACAACTTTTTTCATTTCTTTTTCCACCTTGCGGAGAATGAAACGTTCCTTGATCTCCCTCACGTCGTACGGGCACAGCCATTCGTATGTCTTTTTGGTGCTGTAGGCAGCCCAGAAGGCGTAGAACGGGCCCACGACTTCCTCATAGCTGCTAGCTGAATTGCCGAACGGGGGTGCGACTCCCAGCTCGTCATCGCTGTCCATGAACTCGAAATCCTCTGAGGCGATCTGGACGAAGACATCGGCATAAACTTTGTAGAATCCCTTTTCCTCATCTCCGTAGCCTTTGTAGCAGGAGTTGGTGAAGTATGGGAAGACATCCAGGCAGTTCTCCGAATACTCAGAGTTCTTGCCCCGCAGAATCTGCTCGCGGTGGTTGTCATACCAGGCGCGTTCCTGTGGGTCCGAGAGCACTTCATAAGACTGTTGGATCAGTAGGAATTTCTCCTTGGCCTCAGCCAAGCTGTTTGGATTCTTGTCGGGATGCCAGCGGAGCGCCAGTTTGCGATATGCTGTTTTGATTTCACTATCGTTGGCGTCTCGTTGGAGCCCGAGCTCCTCGTAGTAGCAGCGCATCTTGACAAAGGATCTTGGAGCTTTTTTGATTGTTTAAATCACGTTTAAAAGCATGTTTACAAGAAATTTCGATGTGCAAGGCAGTGTTGTCTCATGAAAAAAAGCGTAAACAGCTGTTGCTCATAAATGCGTTTCAACTTTAGTGTTGCAAAACGATGCGGTAAGCAAACATTTAAATAAATAAATTGCATACTTTTAAGCTAGTAGCTACTACTATTTTAGCTATGTTTTCCTTTCAAAAAATCCTAATTGAAAATTATGGCTATGAATGGGCAATGAAGTAGAGTCCGTAATTTTCAAACTTGCAACGGAAATCTTATGTGTACTCTGTTGTCGTTGCTCTGCGCATTCCTTCTCTCATTAGCTTTTTTTCTTCGGCGGCAACGGACGCTCCTTTTCTCTGTTGCCGCACATTCGTTCGCAGAAATCTACCGCACGCTTTTCTCGCTACTACCACAAACTTATATACATAACAGTTGAAACATACAATACCATATAAAAGAAATAAGAAAAGGAGAAGATAACTAAGCACATACATACCAATACATAATTCGCATAGAAATGGTAGTGAAAGTACTTTGATAGTGAAAAAGTATATTCTCAGTACACACCGCAGCAGCACAGGCAGACTACAGTAAAGGAATCTCGCAGTGGTTTTTTCTCTTTGGATGATATCTTGCTTTTTACATATAATTTGCCGAGAACGTTTACAAATAATTTGCATGAAATACACATATTGTCTCGACCATTGCCAATCAACAATAACAATACACATAAAGTGCCAAAATAACGTAAAGCATTTGAGTCTGCAGCAAGTGAAGAGGGGGGAAAATGGAGAGAAATAGCTTGACATAAAAATTCACAGTTACGTCGGATTTACAACCCGTCGTCAGCCGTGCAGAGTTGATTTCGGCGGGGGAGGTTTGCCAAAGCACACAGACAACGCATACAAGCACACGGACGCATACAGTTACTCCAGCGCACAGCACGAAACGAGGAGTGGAGTCGCAGTCCTTGAAGCATCGTTAGGCAATAGAGGAGGCCAGGAAGCATCTCGGCTTACAAACCACCCCCAATACCGTGGCCCAAACCGTTGGGTGCGTCGTTATTCGGCCTGAACGGCCTGCAAAAAAAAAGAACCGCCAACAAAAAAATAAACAAGCGAAGCTGTCTGTATGCACTCATGCGAGTGTGTGTGTGCCATCGTATAGATTTACCGTTCGTTGGTCTGCCTTTCATCTCGTGTATTCGTGTGTTTTTCTGTGCGCCGCAATAAAAAAAAGCACGTAAAAGGAAGGAAGAAAGAAGGATATTATGAGGCGGCAGACAAAGATAGTCGCATTTGCGAATAAGGTAATTTCGCATAAAATTCCAACACACCCACACACACATTATAGGAAGCATGGGAATTGCAAAAACTATTGAAAATGTGACCCTGCCCTGCCTGAAGTCCGGGTGGGCTTTTGTGCTGTCATAAATGGATTTTCTTATCAGTCCAAAGTGGTCCCAGGAGGCCGCTCGGCCTCTATTGTTGCAACTAAATTGCATTTGAAACAGAGAACACTCTAAACGCACTCTCTCTCCCGTTTCAGTTATATCAGCAGCAAACACAATCCGTCCAATTTCGTTAAGATTAGAAGCTAGCACTATGTTTGGATCCAAGCTGCGCTCCTGGATGGAGACGCACATCGTGCGTCCGCGGAAGAAGGGAAACAAGCACAAGCAGGCAGCCGCAGAGGCTTCGCACAGTAGCAGCACCACCACCACTGGGAATGGCAAGAAGGCGGTTACACTGCCTCCACAGGGTAGCAACCTCACCAGCCCCGTGCTGACAAGTAGCGGCAGCCACAGCATCGCCAGTCCAGTGCGGAGGCGTGAAGTATCGCCCATACAGTGCCACGTAAGTAACTTTGTGAGTGCATTTCTTGGAACGTTTCTGACCCGAAGCTCTTCCTCAATTGTGTAGCCTCCTAGTCGGCGGTATGGATGGCAGTCACCAGATGAAGATTCATACGTCATCACATCACCCAAATCGGACAATCTGCTGTATGCCCCACAATGCTACCAGCCACATCAGCAGCTGCAGCATCGGCAGCAACAGCACCAGGCCCATCACCTGAGCGTTCCCAACTGCAAAGACATCGCCTGTGCAGAGAAGTCACCCACCAAAGTGAACTGTTCCTCTTCGTCCATTTCGTCGCTCTCCTGGTCGACGGGCTCCAAGGAGCCCTCGTCGGGCAAGCAAACTACATTCAAGGATCAGCAGTCCAATGGGGAGTACCACATTCCACCCGAAGAGGAAGATGAGGTGGAGTACGAGGAGGTGGGCGCCCTGCTGTTGCGCCCCCAGGCTCCTATAAGGGACTATCAGCGTCCGCAATCGGAGAACTTGGCCGGCATGCGTCTGATCTACGAGGAGGAGACCAAACCAAACTCCAATCATGTCCGTTATGGCCGTCTGCTGCCCTCGAAGCTGGCTCCTGCTCAACTGGGAGATTCTGTGGACAGCCTGATCACTGCCCCACCCATTCCACCCGCTGCATCCAGTGCAGCCGCTGGCTCGAGGATTCGTACACCACGGGGAGTGCAGCGCACTAATTTCATGCCCGGACCGCGTCCCCATAGTCTCCCATCGCCGGAGAGCGCCTACTCCACGGGCTACTCCACCGACGGCACCTCGCCATGCGCCGCCAGCAACTACAATCCCCCCGAGTACTACATCAACATGCGCTCGGGCACCCACTACTTCCCCAAGAGCGTCAACTCGCTGGCCATCGAGGCGCAACGCTACAAGTTCGGCTTGAATCGCATCGAGGAGATGTCACCCATGGACCCGTTGCCCAAGAGCAACTTCGCGAATGCCATTCACGGCCTGGAGTCGTCGCCCAGTCCCCTCGCACTTCGGCAGCAGCCAAAGCTATTTGAATGTGAGTGCAAAATGTTACGTTTGGTCAGATCCGTTGTTGGAGAACTCGCCCTTCCTTTGAATCGCGCGACCCATCCAACAACAAACTGAGCAATTAACCCATTTAGAGTCTCGGCTCAACTCAAGTGACATCCCCCACTCACATGAGTCCCACCCTCATTCCACACCCATTGCAGCTCCCTCGCCGAGACAGCGCTGCCGCATAAGGACCAATCCCTGGTACAACACGGCCGAGCATTTGCCACCCTCCTCATCGGCGCCTACGCGTCTGGAGCTGGATGCCACCAGCACAACCTCCACCACATCGTCGGGCATTAAGTCGGGCAATGAGCTGGAAGTTCCGGCTGCCAAAACAACAGCAGCAACAGAAACAGTAAAGGGAACAGCATATGCAACCACCACCAGCTGCAGAGGCACTCCCAGAAAGTCAGCTAGAGTTGTTGTGGAGGGTGGCGTTGCACCTGGGGGAGCTGGGGGAGTTGCTTACGAGTCCTCGGAGGGCTCTTCGTCGTCGACTGAAGTGGAAAATCTGCATGCCCCACACACCATAAAGCGGCGCCACTTGGAGCACGTGGAGACGACAACAACTTCGGCCCTGGTGGCTGCTGGCGGTGGAGCTGGAGTAACCACCACCTCCTTCATGCTCAGCGATGATGAGGCCACACTCAACGAGATGATTGGCAAGTTTGACGAGAGTTACATCTACGAAAAGGAGACCGACATACTCAGGTGAGTCAGTCAGGCAGTCCTCCCTTTCGTGTGTTTCTCCATTAATTTGCTTACTTGCCCTTCGCCCCTGCAGCAGCGACTCTGATCCCACAGACGACTGTGCCTCGGAGCTGGACACCGGGCAGGATGCGGGCGATGAGTGTGATACGGATGAGCTGCTGGACATCGACTTTATTGATACCTCATCCATGCAGGAGGTGGTCCTTGACCGCCACGATCTGGCCCGCAATCTGGGAAGCTGCCAGTACTACTTCAATCAGCCGATCAGTCCCTTGATCAAGCGCAAGTCCTCGACCCGCTCCCGGCGGAAGAGCGGCCAGGAGACGGCCGATGGTTCGCAGCAGCGACGGCGGAAGCGTTTCCTCAAGACGCGCAAGAAGAGCTGCGAAAACCGCGAAAAGCTACCGACATCGCCTCTGCGTGAGCCCCGCGGCTCTCGTAGTGTGGGCGGAACGCCAGTTTGTTTGCGCCGCAAACTACTAGGCCCCAAGGAGAGGTAGGATGAGCGTGTGTTGCAGAAGGGCTTTTGTATTATTATTTAAAATATTCTTCTTTGGCTGCCAGGATCTACAAGACATCGCCGCTCTCGAATCGCTCCAATTCCCTAATCTTTGGCAGCATCAATGAGAAGACCTCGCTGACCATTGCCGAGAGCGAGAAGGCGCTGCTGAAGGCTGACTTGGAGGCGGACATCAAGTACAAGCAGCTCATCATGGAGGCCGAACAAATGCTGGAGTCTATGAGAAACAGCTTGCAGAGGTATGTAACACCTGCAGGATTCCAGAGGATTTAGATTCTACTAATCAGGCATTTTCAGCATACCGCGGGATACACCCGTCGCCAGTCCGAGGCGCGTGAATCCCTTGGCCAACAAGCGCGTGGAAATGCTCAAGCACGGCGAGGTGGACTCAAAGAAGCAGCCGGCGCCTCCGGCCACTCCTCCCTCGGAGCACGAGCTGGCCGCCGCCATCAACAAGCGCATCGAGATGCTGAAGTTTGCTGAGAATTCTGCGGCGTCGTCGCCACCCAATAGTCCCAAGCCCGGCCGCTGTAGTCCCCGGAAGACGCATCTCACCAACTTTATTAATCAGAATGCTCCGCCCGAGCTGCCGCCGCGCAAAATAAACGGCAACGCACCCACTGCTCCGCTCTCACCGCAGCTGCAGTTGAATGGGAGGCGACTCCAGGAGAGTCCCTTGGGCAAGCGACGCATGATGACGGTGACGTCGACGACTACGACCACAGTGTTCAGCTTCAATGACGATGACTCGGAGATGGAGTGCATTGCTGTGGAGGATGTGGGGAATAACAACGTGGAGGAGCCTCTGTCAGCACCGCAGAGCAATAACAACAATTTCTATTGTCCACACAGCGAGCCGCTCAAGCGAAAGGTGTACAAGGGCAGTTCCTCCTTTGAGCGCATCAAGAAGAACTTTGACTTGGAGCTCGGTGAGTGCTTTGCATATGTCCTGCCCTTCTACTCTGATTCCTCCTTTTACTGACCCAAACCACAGAAATAAGCGGACGCAGCAAGTCAAACGAACGTTCGCAATCCAAGTTGTCGACATCCGTCTCGGCCAAGAGCTCGATGCATGATGTGACCGGCAATGAGGCGAAGGCTCAGGCAATGGGCGGCGGAGATGGAGGCAGTAACCGAAAGCAGCAGCTAATACTGAGCACCATTGTGGATTTGAAGCGGAGTCTGGAGCATCAGAGCCATCAGCTGAGTGGCTTGAACGGTGACTAGACTGAGCGTGAACTGACTACAGAGGCTAAGATCATCATTATCATACGTAACCCATGCATAATCTAGATTCTAAACAGTATATAGCTTGCAAAGGCCTAAGCTAACAAGTCCAACCGAATCCCTCAGACTAGACACTGAAACTGAGCGCAATAACTTTCTAAATGATTAGCGAACCCGATTATTTACACGATATACTCAAGGGTCGAAATGGAAACTATGGACTGGTGCAGAAAGTTATCCCTAAAATAAGTGTAGAATGTAGTTTATTTTCAATGGAATTTTTATGTTTTAATCGTAGACATTTCCCAAGGGTTATGTTCTTTTGTATTTTGTTGATTTAACATTTGTTTTTCCCTGTTTGAACAGGGGTATATTTCAGCTGAGATCCATCTGAGATTTGATGTTTTAGTTTTTTGTTTGCTATTCGTAATTTTATATTCGTAATCAAGTATTATATCTGTAGATTTGCATTTATTTTATATTAATACTCAAATCGAATAGATTATTTCGTTGGGTTGCCAAGCTGCAAAGGTGTTCTAAACACCACATCCTTGGTGCAGCCGTTAGGTAACGCTATCTAACCCACTCATACCATACTATACCAAAAATCTTAGCTTGAATACGTTGACATTATATGGAACTACATGTGTCAATAACTGATATACTTATCCTTAGTTATACTTATCGAGCGTTTGTGTGCGAGTGTGGAGACTGAATCCCAAAACATATCCCACATGAACAGCGAGAATTATAGAACTCTGCTCATTACTAGAATGATTCACTTAACCAGCATTATCGAAGAGTATTCGGAACTAGATCTTTAAGTAAACCAAATTATTATCCATCCAAATGAAAATTGTTTGTTTTAGCCAAATTGTTTGTAGTTTAATCGAAAAAAAAAACTATTGTTCAACTGTTCTGTTTCCTTAGTTGCGTAGATGAACCGATATCGTATTCTATTATCTATGAATTTTAAATTTGTTGCAATTGGCAAAGCTTATGCTGATTTCCAATTCGGATAAATTGGTTGTACTTTGGATAAATCGATTGTGTACTAATAGTTCTGTTCGGAATTATGTATTATTGTGTTGTGTGCCCCCATTAATATGCATATAGACGCTATAGAACCCACACATAGCGTACATACATAATCTAAGTCAATAATGTAACGTGATAATAAACTTAATGAAAACCCCAAGACCCTCAATTAAAGCGGCAATCGTAGTAAGTATGTACATACATATGTATGTACCGTATATAGAATAGCTATAGCTAAACAGTTATAATTGTGATTTATGGTTTTACACCGTCGTTTTACACTAACTTTGTAGTTTTGTGTATCCCGTCTCGCCTTGTTTTTGGAATTGCAATTAGTTTTTATTTTCGCTTACGTACGAGCCTCAGTACACAGAGTGCTCACAGTCGACCATTGCTAGTCAAGGGCTGGGAAGTGGTGGGCTAGTAGTCTGGAATGCCGTGTTAAATTTACTTAATTAGCTTCACCCAAACGCGACACTTGAACATCGACCGCGGACAGGGGCACCGAGCGACGTACGAAGAAATTGTATCGAACTTTAATTTGGACACGACGCCGATGCGTAGTTCCAGTCCGGGACTTTGACGGAGCCGAAGCCGAGTGACGGCTTGAACCTTTGGCTCTCAGCTCTCATGTTAATTAATTTATGCGCCCTAAATTCAAAATATTCAATTGGATTTCCGATGTGAAGCGACCTTAAGACAATCCAACGAGCTTTCTGATAAGAAAATTTACAAAAATACACAATCTAGACAAAGACTGCAGCGTGGCTCACCTTTTAATGGGTGCAGGTAAATTCCCGTAACACGTGTGGTATGCGCTATGCCCTCGTTATGGATGTGTATCCAATATCCTATTACAGTCTACACTCGTATAATTATTGTACTTACTTATAATAAAGGACCAATTTTGTGACTCGCCTCCTATCTTAATTGGCGGCAGGGGCAGGGGCCCCATCGCCTTGAGTTTGAGTGCGGAATTTCCAGAGATGGCGACGCGACGTATTCGAGATTCCTCCGATCCCCGTTTCTTGTCATCTCGTTCATTATTATGCCTGGCTGTAAAAAGGTAAAAATAAACTCGACATGTTCTAAAAATCCCCAGAAAAGCATCGACAATGGAAAATTAGCAGACAGATCATGGACTCGTGTGGCTGTTGTGGCTGCTGCTGCTGCTTCTGCTTCTGATGCTAATTATGCAAATGGAGAGGCGGAGAGCGGGTGAGGAAGTGCCCAAGTGGAATACCAAGTGACCGGGCCACGCTTAAAACATCAATTCGACATCAACATCGGGCAAGCCAGAAAAAAAATCGTCTACAAAATGAGGCACTGGCTGGGCCAGTGGCCCACTGAAGGAGGCCCGACCTGCTGGGGCGGCAACGGAGATGCAACACAACATGGCCAAAACTGGTTCGACATCTCTTGTGTGTCGTATGCCCCTTGTGACCAGGAGGCTCAGTGCAATGGGATAGGTAGGGGCTGGTCCAAAAGCTTACACATTCCAACATTGCTTTGTTATACCCAAAGTAGAGAGAGGAGCAGAGCAATGGATTTGCTTTTGTATTGATTGTCGATGCTCGATGCACAGTTTTTGAAAGCTTTGAGCGGTTCGGACTTGTTGACTGTTGTTCTTATTGCTTTTGCTTCTCCCCTTCATGCTGTCTGCTGAGATTTTTGTTGCTTTTTAACGTCTTTCTCGATTATTGTTATTATTATTATTATTGTGGTTCTTGTTATTGGTATTTCCAACGTTAAGGCAGTGGCTTTTTTTTTTGCCGTAAAATGTTACTTTTGTGTTGACTCTGCTCGCCGGCGCTGTCGCAGTCGCTGCCAACGGAGCCGTCGCTGCTGTTTTTAGCCGTGAAGGTCATGCCCAGGTGTATGGCATTCAGATTCACCTGAGCTCCGGCCCGAGTCCGAGCCGAAGCGCTGCGGCACGGTACGGCGTGGCTGCGCTTGCGCTCCAACGCTAAACGGGTGACGGACAAAAGGGGGCAGTCGCTGTGGAGGGGCTTGGGAGGAGAACCAAGGGGGCAGGTTGTTGTTTTGGCAGTTATGAAACTAGTCCAATGACTCGCTCTGCATGTATTTGTGTGTGTGCGTGTGCGAGAGTGTCTATCCGTGTGTGTGTGTGCCAACTTTGAGTTTTTGCCTTTGCCTCGTCTTTTTGTAAGCTTGTAATTACAAAGATACTACTCGCAAATCTCTTTGTGGTTTGTCTGCATAGAAAATTCGTGAAATACGAATAAACTCTGAGCCAAATGCTTGTCAAACCATTGAGGCGTCCCCCAAAGCGCTCAACTCCACCGCCCTGCCTAGCTGTTGAATTGGCCAGTTCTCAATATTTCATCAGCTCACTTCAGCTGTCTTTTAAAAACGTGAGACAAAATGTGCGCAGTATCAAAAGCCCCTGGACGTAATGACACAGAGAGCAGGCGATAGAGAGGTGATCAGGAGAGCAGTAGAGTAGAGAGGCTGCGAGAGAGTGAGCTTTTGGGATGAGAACACACAAATTAGAGTTGACAAAGGAAAAAAGAGCAGTATCATGCTAAAGATTAGCGTTTTCTGCTGCGTAGCTGATTGTCCGGTTCTAATGGGTGGCTGGAACAATCGGTAGGAGGGAGAGCGGCAGAACCAGCTCGAATGGGAAGGCCCTTCTGCATTGATCATTCTTCCTCCTCCTCCCACTCTTATTGTTTTCTTTTTCCACTCTCTGTCCGTAAACAGGTCACACTGGGATGCTAATAATGATGATATACTCGTAAACGGTAGCTGCTGCCGCTATGGCAGCTTTTAGCATTAATTTTTCTGACAGATCATGCTGAGTAGAGCTTGCCTCCTTCCTCTTCTCCTCTTTCCTCTTTGACCCTGTTCACGTTCGGGTTCTTCGCATTAACATCAAGTGCCGCTGATTCAGATGCTGGTATTTTTTTTTACTATTTTGGCAAACCTTCCCTGACCTGGTCCCTGACGTCACAGCGACGCGTCGCTCTTTGAACTTGAGCCAAATTCCCCTCTGTTTGTGTGTGTGTGTGTTCCCTTTCGTTATTCGTGTGTGCTTTGAGTGTGTGTGCGTGGAGTGGGCCAAGCTAATTAATTTCGAGTATACTCAATTAGCGCTTGTGTACTTGTGTATTTCCCATTGACTCTGATCGGATATCGAGACGATCTTTGAGTACCTCGGTAAACTGTTTCATCCGCTGCCGCTCGCCTGTTTTGTGTGCATCCCGGAACCAGTTGGAGGCGTACCATTTTTTATATATTTTTTTTTAACAATATTCAGTTGTCGCAGAATGTTCGTGAATGAATCTTTGGCATGATTTAGCGCTTTGTAATATCTGTTTTATGTTTGTATGTACATAAATACATACGAGTATTCATGTTTCTGCGTGTCGTGTCTCTTACTCTACCTCAGACTCTATCTCTGTTCGTGTGTAAGTGTGGAATTTCGAGTTTTTGGACTTTGTACCAGTGGCTAGCCATGAACCGCTCCGCTCCGCTCTGCTCTGCTCAGCTCAAGCACTGGCCACCAACACACACGGGCAGCGTCCAAGTCCAAACCCCCTCCACTCCCTTGGTTAACGTGATCGTGATATATAGCAGAGAGTGGTTTGCCATCTATCCAAACAGCTCTCAGCTGGGATGGGTACCTTACCTGTACCTACATACATACATCGGAATGGGGCGTGGGGCTCTAATTATTCCGATAATGTGACGCACTCTAATGACAGCATAATGCGGAATTCTGTTCCCGATTTGGTTGCAGAACCCTAGCCGGACAGTCGGACAGTCAATAGGCAATGCATATGTATATTCCATAGCGAGATCAGCCGTGAGCTGATCGCTTTGGAAATGGCAAGCAGGAAGTCGGCAACGCTACGCTACTGACTGATGGGGAGGCAACTGTTAGTTAATAACCGTTCGATGTTCGATAATAGTTGGAGCCGAACAAAGATCTTTAGCGTTTCCGCCTTGAATGGGCGGGCTGGGGCTGGGGCTGAATCTGAGGCTGAATCTGAGGCTGGGGTCAAACGGAAGTGTTTGCTTGATGTACATATGCATGTATATTTTCGGACTCGAACTCTCATGCTAATCTAAAGCGGAGACTGAAGATGAAGTGCCGTTATTAATTAATTGCTCGTTTCGGTTTGCATGCGCAGTTATTTTCGGAGCTCGAGTTCGACACGTGATAAAATGTGATTCCGAGTTTTGGCCCCACTGTCGGCGTTGCTTCTGTGATTTATGTACATACAAATGTATTCATTACCCTCCCCCCTTCAGCCACTCTGCCGATGGTGCCACTGTTGCAGTTCAATGCTGCAGAACCGAAGAACGAACCAAGTAGCCTTGGGAGACGAGACTCACAGTGCCTGCCAACTGCCAACTGCCACTCTGTCTGCAGAGACCTTGGGGCATTTACGAAACCGCGTGAGAAGTTACAAGCGGCCCAAACTGCTGAATCACGTCGATTGCGACTTTCTTTTGTGGCAGAACAGGTCCAAATGCGATTGGTTATGCTAATTCTGGCTGGGATGCGAAAGGGAATGGAGATGTGGCATCGGTATGGGGGATCAGCGATCAAAGCTCGGCTTAGTTGGGGCTCAAGGTTCGCCTTTGGTCGGCGGCGGCGGGGTCAATAAACGGAAATGAAGCAAAATCAAAATCAAAATCACAATATATCGAATCTTCTGTCTTCGATTTGTTGGTAAATTATGATACTTCCGTCTGTCTCCGATTTTGTCGGGGGGGTTAAGGCGAACCGCCGGCAATAAGAGGCGGAAGCTGAAGCTCTGAGCCCCAGAGCCCAGAGCTAGAACCGTAAACAAGTTTTGCTCCACAGCCGCCGAAAATCCGAGACAATCGCCAAAACAAATATACATACATATGTATGTATGTATATAGTAGTAGTCGCACAAAATCAAGTGAGAAATACTAGCGTCTGCAGGCCGAAGCTGCAAGTACCCTCGTGGGCCTAATAACTATATGATTCGATCCTGATTAAACTTGAAAGGATTATAAAGACACAAATAATATATGAGAATAAGAAGGTTTTCTCATATAGCTGTTGAAGTAGCAAATGTTACAGCCACAGTTTGATATCTTTCGCACTGAAATTCCATGCTGAGAAACCAACTAATGGACTCCGGCGATCAGTGCGGGACACGAATATAATTTCATGTGCATATTTATAGTTTATAGTTATAGTGGGGGCTGGGAAACGATGTTGCAATCTTCCGGGTAAAACTCTAATACCTTCGGCAAGGGTATAGAAACGAAAACGAAACTGAAGCTGATTCGGGGACTGACGCAATTTGCAAATGGCTTGGAACTTTAGACATCCACGTGCCTCACCCCCATCCACTCGCGACCCGTCGATGCGGAAGCCTTAGCAAAGGCGTTAATTGATTGACCGGGACCACTAGAACGAACCCCCAAGAATCAGAATCAACGTCGTACTCTGCATTGCCTTTGCCTCTGACTCAACTGTGGCGGAGGAGGGAGGAGGGACGGACGGGACCCTGGAAACCGCTCAAGTGGAGTCTGCTGATAGAGGCGAAACAAGTTCATGGTTTCCATTAGATTTGTCGCAAATTCTCATCATCGATAAGGCCATGTCCACGAGCGAAACCAAAATAGAAACCGAAACAAACACAAACCAACAGCAGCAACAGCCACAGCGGCGGCATCGGCAGAGGACAGAGCCGAAAACAGAATTATCTTGGCCCAGATACATGCCAGAATGGCCCGACATTCTATTGGCCTCCAATCGCTGTTAATAAGCATAATCTCAAGTTGGGGACATGTGCCAAGGAAGTGCTTTCCATATAAGTACTTCACAGCCTGAAGAGACCCATTTGGAAATGTTTGTGTTGCTCTTTACTCGCGGTGCAAGTACCAAGATGTCGAGTGCTCATTTCCTTACCCTTCCGCTGCCCTGAACTTGAGCTGGTGGCTTACATTATAGGGTTTGGTCATGAGACAGCCCCATGATCGATTGTTTTTCATGGGCATTGCCTATGACGTGGCCTGGGGATTACCATCTACTTGTATGTGAAGCATTCTTCCATGTCTTGAGCCATGTGCTGTATGCCTTAGATAAGATCAATCGGTTCCGTTCAGTGACTATCGATGTGTGGAGGAAAGTTTGGGCGTCCATCCAAGAGAGGAATAAACCCAATGACTTTCCATCATTGACACGCGCCATCCGCAATCAGTTTAGCTAGAATCACAGATTAGATAGTCGAATTTCCGATTTCGGATGCACTGGAAAATTTATGGTTATGAAATGGGGGATCTTCAATTGGGACTTATAGGAAATTTCAGTCCATACTTGAATGTGTACAAAATAAAATGAAGATTTCCAACTTCAAATGTTATCTAGTTTCCGCTATATAGACACTAAAGGAATAACTCATTTGTTTTCTTTCAAAAATAGAGATAAAATTAAAAAAAAAATCGTTCGGGTTGTTGATATCCATACAAAAATAATTAATCTAAATTGAAGCTTTCTTTGCACCAAGATAAGATAGAAAAGCCATCGATATAAAGATATAAAGTTTATTTATATAGAATCCAGAAGGTACTACAAAGAACAGCAGCATACATAATTTAATTTGTTTGTTTCCGAAGAAAGCAAAACCTATAGCAAAATAATGAAAATTGGTGCAGACATCCGAGTACATTTAGCTGGGCTTCACTGTAATCTATATGGTGCATTTACGATGACCATTGCCACTTGTCCACCGTCCGATTCGACCCAATTGGCCTTTGTACCCATCGCACGAGCCACAACACGCTCCATTCAATTTCAGCTCCGTTGGCACTTTCTTTGCCGTTCCGATAAAAAGCCCGCACACACAAAAGCTACGAGTGTGAAGAGAAAATAAAGAAACAAAAAAAACGCCGAATGGTATATATGTATTTTCTAAGTAAATTTATTTATTATGTATAAATAATTCTCATTTAGCTCTCACAAGCGCTATTAACTTTAGTAATTTACAGTTTGTTCTGTGTGCTTCGATGGCCTGGCCAGCAACATGCAAATGGGTTTCTAGATGACTTTTCGGGGAGATTGTCCGATCGATAGGATCAGATATGACGATTCCACCCCTTTTGTTGAGCATAATCAATCGCTGGTCTGTTTGCGAAGTGAAAAATCAAACGAGACATAATAACGGCACAAAATAGTTGGCTTAAACAATTACAATAACAATTTTGGAATATTTAATCTTGCATACAGGCTAAGAGTGAAGTGAAGATCCTCCCCTTACCTCCCTCCCTCCCCTCATTCTTATTGTGATTGTGATCCCCTAACCCAAACCAATCCCCATACCCTTACCCATCCCCATCCCCATCCACACTTCACTCGTATTCGTAATTTAGTTAGAAATTAGATTTCTTGTACTTGTTGAACATTGTTTGCTTCAGTGGTTGTATCTTGCAGTTCCCTATAGCTTTAAATATATATGTATGTATCTCGAATAGCTAACACAGTACTTTATCAACCTTTGGGCCTGTGGCTACCACTATATTAAGATTTGACTTGAGTACAGTTGAGCCCACAGCTCGTAGCGTTGTAGTGCGGTGACGGGGGGAATGCTAAGAGTTCATTCGCTTTGCTTTCTGTGACTCGTTTCGATTCCCCTTGCACCCGATACAGATACGAATACGGATACATAGACAAATAGATAAAAACAAATTGGTTGCAATTTTAACAATAGAAAATGGGTTGATTTGTTGCTTTAGTTGCTTTAGTTGCTGCACTATCTATAATATTAGAGACTACCAACTGTTTTACATTTATACAATCTTCCTCTGGCACACATATACAATCCCCGTGTGTCGCACATAGCACCCCCTCGTGTTACATATACATAGTTTTAGGTATACGCATAGATATAGATATAGTTTTAGATACAGATAAAGATACTCGAACTCTGCGAGAGAAAGACCTCGCCCTTGCTTCGATCGATACTAATGAGAGTAAACAGACCCGCCCACTAAACAGACTATGGTATAAAGTATTAGCCCCGACCAGTTCGAAGGATTAGATATAGAAGGAGAAGAAGGAGAGGATGTTGAGTTGGACCTCCTAAACGGGCCCAATATCACTTTGGTATCTGGCGGTCAGATAGTTGGCCGCCTCTGTCATTTGTTCCAGGCACTGGTACAGACCGTTCAGGTGTCTCCGGCAGCGTTGCGCCAGCTCTGTGGCCTTGTCCCCGGAGGCCTGCTTCGACTTGTGGCAGGCGTCGTCCACAATGTCGCTGCCATCGCTGCTCTGGGCATGATCGCTCTTGTTGCCGTCCGACTCCAGGCCCGAGTCGTTCTCCTGCGAGATGTCCGAGTCCGAGTCGCTCATGTTGCTCACCGACGTGGTGGACATCATCGAGGCGGTGGAGGTGCGTCGCACATGGCCCTTGATGCTGCTCGATGTGGATGTTGCGGACTCAGTCTTGCTCTCGCTGGTATTGGAAACGGGACTGGCATTGCGCTGTTGCTGCTGGTGGGACTCGATCTCGACAGCTTCATCGTCCTCCTGATTGGCGGTCCAGAGCAGATCCTTTTTCAGAGCGTTCAGCATGCTGTAGAGATTGAAGAGCTCGGAGGCGCTGAGGAAGTCGTGCACGTTCTTCGAGTGGGCCGCTCCCCGCTTGCCCTGGGCACTGGAGCTCTGTGTCAGCTGGTTGGCGGTAGTGTCCTTGCCCGAGGCTGGTATAATGTCAGTGCTGTCACCGATCTGCGGAAGAGCAAACAAGCAAAGAAGGTGGCATACATCAGTTGGGGCTGTGATCATGTGGGGTAGGCGGAGCAAGAGTTTGGGGAGGTTGTATTAGGGTCACTGGACTGTACCTGTCGATCCATGAGCCTGCATGGCACCAATATGGTGTCGTCCATAATGCTGACAGTCTTCACGAACTTCTCCATCACATTGACGATGCTGTCTTTGGAGAACTGCTGCTCATCGTGGCGGGCGATGCGGCGCAGGCAGTTCCTGAAAAGAGCAGAGGATGAGAAAAACGATGATAAAGATGATCTTGAGTTGAGTCGGCAAACCAGTAAAGTAAAGTGGGGGGGGAAACCAGTTTGAGACAATAGATAGCATAATTGGGGACCCATGCCACATCAGACCAGACCCCAGCAGACCCCAGCAGACGCTGACCATTCTCAAGCGTCGTTAAGTCTGCGGCGTTTAGACTTCCGCCACTCGAAAGCCGAAATCTTCTTTCTTTCGGATGGGGGATGGGGCGGCTCTGGTATGGGTGCGGTGCGCCCAATCGCCTGGACAACGTGGCGCATGACATATATGAATTGGTTTCTATGCAAATTAGCGAATCGTTGTCGCAAATTGAATTTGTATAAAATAGAGAAACCTGTTGGCCGTCCACCGCCGCCCTGGCGGTGTTTTCTATTGTACCTGAAAGTGCTCGTGCGAGTCTAAAACAAAGACCAGACGGACGGACGGACCGACCGAAAGATTTCTATTTCTGGACGTAAAAGCCAATTTGACCCAGCCACGTGCTGGGCTGCGAGCGCGGGAAGAGAGTAAAATCCGCAGAGCTGAAACCGCAGCTTGGAGGAACCAACTAGAGTGCTGTGAACGGACAACTTATGCAAGCCTGGCCGGTCAGCGCTGGGTCTCTCATTAAGAGCTAATTTCACGTTTGGATCGCGTAACAGTCATTCCCCCCGTCAAGCTCCATTAAAAAGTACTCGCAACTCGCAGGCACTTGACAGCCATTAACCCCCCAGGGCGAGCGCTTAAACTAGTACGATCCAAAGTTCCGTCCTGAGCCGGCTTATCGCCGCCAGACAGCCCCCAGACGACGAAGCAGCTGGAGGAGCATGTAGCTGCGTATCTGTATCTGGCTCTTGTTTGGGTGAAGATTGGAACAGCGACAGCGACAACGACCCAGTCAGTGGGTAGCCGCGTGATCGCAACAATTGTAGTTGGGACAGCGTGAAAGGCGAGCAACTGATATAAATTTAGTTTTCAGTGACTGCGCCATTCAAAGAGCACCACCTCCACCCACCCCCAGAGTCTACCGCATAGGGAAAGCAAATATGTACATACATACATATGTACATATGTATGTAGAACGTATCTGTATATTGATGGTTCGTTCTGGTGTAGCAGAGAGTGAGGGATGGGGGCGGGCCACGCGACCACAGCGTGCTCCAAACGTCTGACCGACTATCGGTCCCAGTAGCAGAAGCAGAAACAGAACAAGTGGCAGACGGCAGACCAGTCCCGCTTGTGTCAAGGTTTGTCTGGCATTCCAGTTCCAGGGCCAGAACACTTGGTGTCTAGCGGGAGGAGGGTGGGAGAGTTTCCTACGAGTATTCACACAAATGACTAATTAACGTAATTGAGTAGAATTCCAATCACAGACAGGCAGACCAAAAGACGGAGGGGAGAGCGTAGGAATGCAAAAATAATTATCATCTTATCAACGATTTTCAGCCTCGGACACTTGGGAGGCACATACGAGTAATTTCGAATAGACAACCGCCCCAGAGGTGGCAAGGGGCGAGCATTAAATTTATTTGATTGTTGTTTAATCATCATCTCAATTTAGTTTCAATTATTTGCGAGGAATGCGAATGCACCTCTTTGTCACCCTTACCCCTGTGGGTTTATTTACTTATGTAGATGGTTGTAATCAGGCGACAATAGATTGTTGGCCACACGCCAGTCAGCGGGCGGGAGGGATGGGAGGGTTCACGCCATTGACCTTTTGTTATAAATACAACAATTGCTTGCAGGCAAGCTCTTCCCTATTGTCCCCTTTTGATATCCCATCCCCTCTTTCTTTCCATGTAAGAAGAAGAAATGCCGGCATGAAGAACACGCCACATTGAGCCAACCAATTGGAGAGCAGCATGAACAGAAATCTACTCGGCTCCATCTCCTCCGTCTCTGATATAACAACAAAGAGCAGTACTCTTTCTCTCTCTCTCTCAGGCCCCCCCTGGCAAACACCTGGCTGACTGTGAGAATTGGGCTAAGCTGAGGAGGAGGCGACGAGTCGAGACGTCACGCGACATGCGCAAAAAGAAGAGCCAGAGGCGGAGGGCAGAGAAATGGCATGTACCGCATACAACGCCGAAATCAGGCGATTATTTTCATTCAGTGGCGGCAGACAGTGGGTGGTGGTGGTGGTTGGATGGGCTGTTGGGTTGCAGCATTCATAAGCTGACTCTTGCCACAAAAGAGAGCGAGCGGCCGTTACGCTCAAACTATGGTGCTCTCTTTGCCTGAACAGCGGGTTTCTCTTTACTGGGATTCATGTGTGTGGCGTGATGTTTCCGAGCAAACTGTACGGGCGATTGTTAGAGTAAGAGACGCAGCTGCTGCTGCTCTCCACTGATGATATCTCCCTCCCTCCCCTCCCCACCCCTATCCTTCTTTCTACACAGCTGAGCGCGATGAATGAAATCGTTTTGCGATGCGATGCTCTTCTCTGTGATTGTTGTTGTTGTTGTTGCTGCTGCTGCTGCTAGTGGTATGTTTTTGTGGTATTTCTCGTATTTGCAATGTTGGGCAACGGTCATATACATACATATGTTTATACAATACACTCTTTTTTTTTTTTGAACCGAATTGACCAATATTTGGTTTTGTTTTGCCTTTGCTTGACTTCGATTTGGCCCCTCGCCTGACCTCCATCGCTGCAGCGGTGTTGGGGTTCGGGCCTACTAAACATAATCGATAATTGATATGGGCCCCCCCCGCACACTACAAATTTGATATTCTAGCTTCGATCGAGACTGGCCAACGGCCACACACACACACACACACAGGTGAGCATATATGTACATGGCAGAGGGCAGTAAGGGGGGGAACGGAGATGGGTTTCGCCGTAAGTTTCTGTTCAAGGCGACACTTGCCACAAAAGCGTCGTTAGTAATAGTAATACAATCGCGGTGACACACAAAACTATCCATACATACATATGTACATACATATATTTACATACGAACGTAAATATGTACATACACATGGATGTATGTAAGAGTATGAATCAGAGAACTTTTCTGTGATTTACCAAGGAGGAGGGCCGGACTGGGCCGGGCCTGAGGTGGTCTGCTCATGTGGCAAATATAGCCCTCGTATGTTTGTGGATGAGTAATAACTATTATCGGTAAATGGCAGGCGAGGTGGTGTCCGTTGATTAGAGCAGGCGGAGGAAGTGAGTGCCGCCGCAAAGATAAACGCTTATCGCTGATCTCCGCTTTGGCTCTGGTATTAGTTTAGTTGAAACGTTTAAACAAACAACACGCTCATATATGTATGTACATACGTAGCCACAGACAGACGCTCGCAAGCAGCGTTTACATATTTCAGAGAGCAGAGAGGTGTACGATATATAGATATAGCCGATTGTGTCATATTAGCAGCAGGCAACGGACAGCGGGCATCGCGGTGGCTTGGTTTTTTTCTTTCGTGTTTGAATTGCCTGTCCCTCCCGTCCGTCCGTCCGTCAGTGAGTCCAACAAAATCGTACGATAAATTTCTTGTATCTCGTTTTCGGTGCAAACGAAAGAGAAAACACACATGGAGGGGTGCGGTTGGTGCTGCTGAGAGACAGAGAGAGAGAGAAAGAGAGGAATTTATGGCTCTCTTTCCCGCTGCACTGTGCTCTCCACCAATTTAGCATCGTTTTGATTAAATTGAACTTAAGCACTTTAACTAGCGAACTGGATTCGATGCTTACCGACTAGTCTCCAGCTTAGTGAGGTCTGTGTATCCGCTCATTGTAAATCGCTGTTGCTTTTTTGTGCTGGGGGCTGGGGGTATAGTTGCTATTTTTTAGCTGCTTCTGATGCTTCTGCTGACAACGCAGGTTATAATTGTTATAGGAAATTTTCTGGTTGCCTCCGCTCTTCACAAATACACGCGCACTTTCACTTGGCCGTTGGCGTTGCCTTCAGCTGTTTCTCGGACCCGTATTCTTGCTTTGCTTTTGGTTTTGGATTACGAAATGCGCTGTCCAACTGCAGTTACAGGTAGTTCAGTTCAGTTCGATATGCAGCTCTTGTTTTAGTTAGTTTAGTTTGGTTTCGTTTAGTTAGTGGCTGGATAGATTGAAGTAGCTCTGGCCCCGGCGCGATTGCTATTGCTCGGATTTCAAGAAGTCGCGGCCGTTTTATGCCAAAAAATTTGCATGCACGCACGGTGTTTCGATTGGACAGGCGGACAGTACGGCCTATGGCTGATGATCTTGTCCGATTCAATTAATTTATATATCAGAATTCTAAACAGTTTGCACGCGCACGGCTGCTGAACTGCTGGACTGATGACGCTGACGATGATAATCACGGACGACGGACGACCACAACCGCAGCCAACGAGAGAGGAAAATTATTTAAATTTGAAACACACAATACATCTAGCGATGTCATGTCATGTCAAATATACTTCAATATATCGATATATATTATTTCTTGATAATATGTTTGGTAGGTAATTTTTGTTGTGCTGAATATGGATATATATAAATTTACAGCAAAGGAAAATGTTTTTGTTGTTGTTGTTTGACGTCGTTATATTATATCAGACATACCCGCGACTTTTGTTTCTAATTTCATCGATGCGATGGTAGTTTAAAAATAAGTTTCGATAGTTTTGTGCGATAAGCAGAACTTGAATTGACGTTATAACATTAGACTTTGCCAACTGACTAACAAACTGACTGCACGAACAGAGATAGGATATATTCTCCACAACGACAGAATCTCTGAATTCTCATATAAGACGTTTGCGTTCCTACATGAAGTAATCCTCACTAGACAACCCGAATACCTGTACAGAAAAATTAGATTTACTAATTCCATCAAAACGAACAATATTATCACCATACAACATAGAACACTAAATTCCGAGAGACATTTACTTGTGAATTTATTATTCGCAAAAACTATCGATGGATACCAACAGCTGTTCCCCTTTGAAATGAATTCTATTCTGCATGACTTGTCTCCAGCACTTCGTTATTTTGCTAACTAAAATGGGATGAGGAATCATCTGTGTTTTGTAAGTTTGGACGTTAACGTGCAATGGTTGATTGCAACATTAAGTGGCCCTAGCGACACCAAGCCGAAGCTTGTTTTCCTAGTTTTCCTTTTTGGGCTTTGGTCTCCTCGGGGTTATTGCCTAAACGACATAATCGGGCGAGATTTTGTCAGGCGCTTAACATACTTCCGTTTTGGATAAAACTTTCGAGGGAACGAACTTGCGTTAAAAATGGGTTCCTTTTTGTGACCTGTCGGAAATAAATTTAATAAGGGAACAAATCCGGCTTACTATTGTGGATTCACTTACTGAAAGCCTGCAGGACAATTAACAAACTGCGATGTGTGGGTTCTCTAGCCGCCCTTCTTAGCTTTTCCGACATTCCTTGAACACATCGAAACATTTCCCATACTTGATCCCTTGTATAGATATCGAGCATGTTTAGATTTGGATCCCAGAAGAATTTTAGTCTTCCGTGGCTTCCGTGGCTCAAGCAATCCGTCAACTCTTCGAACATCTATAATGGAAGTTTCGTGGATTAGCAAGTGGTGATCGGATGTGAGAATTCTGATTCATACATCGATCAATATGTCTGGGAGCGGCTTGAGCCAGTAAGCCTCCTGTTTGGACTTCAATTTCCAAAGAAAAAAAGTCTTAATAAAATAACTTTTCAAATTGTGTAAATTAGTTTTAACATCGCGAAATTGCTTAATGTATTTGATTGCATTCAGGCAATTTTCAGGTTTTCCCCTTAAAATAGCCTTCTCGGCCTCGTAGAAGGAAGATCGAAACGAAATACTTTCGGTTTTACGCGGGTTTTTTGTAGGTTTGGGTATTGCATCCCAGTAGGATATTTTCTCGAAATAAATCGGCTGTTCGGACCGAAACACGTTCTGCTCGGCATCCAGTCGGATGGCAGGAACAAAATCAACGGAATAATCCATTCCCCCGACCTCGATGGTGTGGGCCGGCCCACAGATTCGATAATTTAGTGTGTACGCCTGGCCATCCACGACGATTTGATCTCCGAGCTGGTTGAGAGCACGACGGAAGAGGCTTTGGAGCCAGTGCTGCATCTTGTCCACGACGAGGAAGTTCTGTGCGTTTACGAGTGATTTTAAAAGCCGGCGGATATTCTTTTGATCCACGCGGGGATCGTCTTCGAGTAGCTGCAGCACGCGCGTCATATCGAGCAAAACATTTCCCGGCATTTCCGAATCCCGCGTCACGATTATTTCCCGGTAGTGCGGAAATTCGAGTTTAAATACCAAATCGAATTCGTTGGGTTTCGCGATTTTTAACATATCTCCCGAGCTTCCTGAAAGAGTACAGCAGACACTATTCGAATTAAAAAACGCGCACGCGATTGATTCTATTACGGATACGAGACGACGGGACAAACGATCGGGCCCCCGGACGCGGAGGTAATTATTATTATAACACGACCCCCAACGGAGGGGGAATGGGACCGGACAATGTAAAATACTGCGATTCTGACTCGAACACACGAAAACGTATTGCATGAACGATTGATTCTATTACGGATACGAGACGACGGGACAAACGATCGGCACCGGGCCCCCGGACGAGGGGGTTCTGGTTTCACCGTATACCGAAAATAATTATTATTATAACACGACCCCCAACGGAGGGGGAATGGGATGCAATGCTCCGGACCGGATAATGCAAAAAAATTATGATTCTGACACGAGCACACGAAAACGGATTGCGTGATCAAGATTGGGTGGGGCTATCGGCCAGTTGGTAGCTTTTGATAAAGTGGGGGCACCTTAAACGATAAGAAACTATGTATATAGGTATTACCAAGGGCTAGAATACAGAATACAGAATCCAGGGGACATGAAAGGTGGGCAACAGATAGGGCACCTATGGGTAGATAAGAAAAGATTATTACTGTTTCAAACAACAGGTCTTACCTTCCAAATTATATTCCACAATAAGATACGCCAGCGTTGAGTTTTCTTTTAGTTTCCCAAATATTGTTTTGTGTAGGGTCTCGAAGTGCTTAAAAAATACTAACCATTCCGCCTTCTTAATGTATATAAACTTACTGCAATGCCCAAGGACAGAATTGAGAGATTTCATCTTAACGATGCAAAGATACAAAAAATACTAATATATTTCTGAACGATTCTACACTACGATTCTACAGAACGATTGAAATCGGACTAAATATAGAGAAACGCATCCGAGTTGCGATAGCCTATCGAAACACAAACCAGGTATTTTCGCGATAGCTATGTACATGTACAGTTGTGTCCAATGAAATAGTAGTGCCGCACCTCACTACTTTCAAAACTCTTTTTGAGATAGTTCTAGTCTTGCAAATTGAACAAGTGATACCTTTACGGAAAGCCTGGAATGTAAGCATTGGATCGAAGAAATCGAAGAAACCCCGTTACATTTGCATTCCATCTTATTGTTTTTCATGACTTTAGACAAGAGTTAGGCCAAAAACTTAAGGTAGGAGGTATAATGGGATTGAAAATTAAGTTGTATGCACTCTCAATATTGTATTTAACCCAATTAACTAAAAGAAGTAGACTGGAAATCGATTTTGTATGCGAAAAATTTATTTTTTAGAGGATGGTCGGCGATGGTCGAAGGCAAGACCAGGCCTTTAACATCCTCAAAAATGATGTGACAGTTCTTAGACGGTCTATTTTACATTATCTGAATGCAAGAAGTCCCAGAAAGCTCCGCGCTTGGATCTGAGATTCGTTGATTTTTTTAGATTTTTAATGCTAAAGTTGAAATTGTCTGACTTATTTCATTTTGCAAACAATTAGTTGACATACTGTACATATGTATCTATATGTTTAGAAAAACTATTAAATCACGTTAATTCCGTACCATGGGTATGGTATGCACAGTTGTTCCTTTGTGTAGTCAATGCAACCAGGTGAATGCCGCCGGACAGGCACTTGATCATGTACCGAGGAAGGCCCGCGCACTTTACGGAGTTCGAGAAACCTTATTTGCATTGGAAAACGTTCGCTGCAGTCGATCAAATGCATTTTCCCCCGATTGTTTTGGCTCCAAGGGGTAAACACCTTGATGGAGTAAAGTACTGCTAGCGTTTGGTTTTCTTTGTTTTATCCAATTTGAAATCAGAGACAAATGGGTTTTCGCGTTTGTACAAAATCATTTCGTCCAAACTAAAGTTTCTGTTTTATTCAGTTGATAAACAATTACTATCAATATTATGTGCCTCGACTAGCGAGGCGTGGACTCCTTAATGAGCAGCAGCGGCAGCCTTGGCAGCGATCTCGTCCTCCTTGGCGTGCAGGGCAACGAGCTCTGCCTTCTTGGTGGCAATGCGCTCCTCGCGGCGCTTGCGGGCCTCGCGCACCTTCTGTCGCCTGGCCTCGGCCTGGTCGGACAGCATCTTGCTGCGCTGCTTCTCGGCCTTCTTCTTGTGGATGTACTCCATCAGGACGCGCTTGTTCTTGAACACATTACCCTTGCACTTCATGTACAGATCGTGGTACAGGTGGCGATCAATCTTCTTGCTGTCGCGGTACTTCTTCAGCAGACGACGCAGCACTCGCTGACGCTGCATCCACACCAGCTTGGTGGGCATACGGGCGTTCGCCGTACCCTTGCGCTTACCAAAACCACAATGGCGACCCTTGCGACGGGCCTCGGTGTTCTTGCGCACACGGTAGCGGGAGTGGACCACGACGGGCTTCTTGATGATCAGACCATCCTTGATCAGTTTGCGTATGTTTTGACCTGCAAGACAAGAGGCGGACATTAGATGGGTTCAATGAGCTCATATCTATCTGGCGAGCAGAGCAGCACTTACGCGAGTTTGTGTTGGCAATCTCGTTGATTTCATTGGGGTCCAACCAAACTTTTTTCTTGCCGCAACGCAGTACAGAGGCTGCGAGCCTCTTCTGGAGCTTTAGAGAACTGCAAAATAATGGAGAGGCATTAGTTCATGAAAACAGCGTGCTCGGCTCGGCTCCTATGCGTTGTGTGTGTGTGTGTATGTGTGCGTACGACGTTCGTGTGCGGCACACGTTCAGGTTATTTCACAATTATTTGTCGAAAATTGAATTGCATCCATGTTGTGCGGCACGAACCGTGCTGCACCATCGACCCGCCACACTTTGCACAAATTTTGTCGTCACAAAAACGGATAATTCACGCATATTTACAAAACTCAAATGTACCTCATGCTGTCGACCCTTGCTCGTCGTGGCTGGGAAAGAAAGAAAAATTTGACAGACGGAAGTAGGGCTGCAAACCATCGTTGGACCTATCGATAGTATTCAATGGTTTTGGTTTTGTGCGATACATGGATATTTTTTTGCCATTGCAATTCGTGCCCGAGACGAAATGGATCGTAACATACAGATTCGCTCCAATACAGGAGCGCAGAAGCATTGAGTTTATGCACTTTTGTAGTTATTTAATTTGGTCGTTGATTTGACGATATATCGGTGGGTTGAACAATCGATGAAACGATCGTGCTATGCAGCCCTAGGCGGAAGTGAGCACCAGTTTTTAAGGTCGTATGACACTTTAGTTAACTTTAGAATCTGAAAGACTTCAGCTTGGCACAAAAAGTATCAAACCCACACCTGTTCGACTGATAGCCGGGAGACGTGACTGGATACCAATTCCTAACTCGTGTTTAGTCAGTGACTAATAGTCACACACTAGCCATCACCATCTCTTAGATATGAGAGGTAATTAAGAGTAGTGTCATACGAACAGTAGGAATGACAAACTGAAACATCGATTGGCATCAGCTGATGGCAAACGCTCGTTTTGCAACACTGCACATAATCTCCGCAACAACAAATAAGTTGAGGCTAATTTATAAAACGCCGAATAAACTTCTAAAGGAAATTTACAATGCAACACACACTCAGACGTTGCCTGGGGATGGCCCAGACGCCCCTGTTACGCCTGCATTCTAATCCCATCGCCGTCGCAACGAGAAGATCATTCGCATCAGTGCCACAGGAGGAAAACAAAAAAGAACAGGAGGAGAGGTGCAACCGTAATCATTTGCCGCGCCTTATGGACTTTCCGGAGGTTGTGTGGCCCTCGGCGTTGAACACTATCAAGAACTGGATCACCATCCAGTTCATCATCCGGCCCTACTTCGACAGCGAGTTCCAGCTCAAGGATTTCATTTTCGGCGCTAAGCAGGCACTGCAGGTATGTATGGACTAGACAATGGCTAGTCATTTAACGGAGGTCTAACTCGAGTTTCTCCCAGGTGGTCTCCTCCAAACTGATGGGCGGCGAGCTGGATGCCTTGGACAATTTGGTTTCAACCGATGCCATTGCCGAACTGAAGCCCGTGATACAGAAACTGTCGATGTCGCAACGCAGGCAGCTGGAGATCAAAGAGAGTGACATCTACCTCTCGTTCCCCTACCAGGTGGGCATCATGTTCGACGAGGCCAACGACAAGCTGCAGAAGCGCTTTGTTGAAGTCACCATGGTATTTCATGTGATGCGAGGACTGTCAGAGATGCGAGAGCGCGGCGAGGAGATACCATGGAACATGGGGTTCGTGGTGCCGTTCATTTTTCTAACAGACCCCTTGGACTGATGCCTTTCCATTTTCATTGCAGAACTCTGCCAGAGTACCAGGACAAAGTCTTCATTTGCAACTATCGCTTCATCAAGGAGTTCACTGCTGGCCAGCATTCAGACTGGACGATCAATGTGGCAAATCACTTCAGGGCGATTGATCTGATCAACGAAACCAAATAACAAAAGCCCCAGCCGCAGTGCAGCTACATTTGTTCGTTAAGCCCTAGTTGATATTCGTTAGCTCATCCGCATCCACCTTCCACGTTGGAATAAAAGTTTTGTTTTGCCGCATTTAAGGTATACAAAAATTAAATTTTTAATTGTGGAGCTTCTGATTTTAAATTAAATTCATGTGAAATGAGTTGTTGACCGCGGAGAGCGGACTCCCGCTTAGTGGTGCTTCTTCGCCGCCGCCTCGTACTTGGACCTGTAGATGCCCTTCGCGTCGTACTTGTCGAGCAGCAGCTTCCACTCGCCGGGCTTGTTGACGCGCAGGAAGTTGATCACCTTCTCGGAGTTGCGCCGCTGGGCGGCGGTGCACTTGGAGCAGTCGGATTGCAGGGCGTCGGGCAGCAGGCGCTTCAGCTCGCGGCCATCGGGCGTGCATGGGCCCTTCTCCATCAGGCACTTAAGGTAATTGTTTAGCACGCGGTTATTGCCCAGCACCTCATCCACATCCACATTGTCGAATTTGGCGGTGTACTGGTCCGGAGCGGCGGCCGCCAAGCCGGCGAGCACGCACAACACAATGGCCAGCGAAGCTTTCATCTTGACGAGTGCTGTAAAAGCAGGAGGAGAATTTTGGGTTAGTCCCCAAATTCTGGTAATGGCAAAGCAAATACAAATTAGACCCCCTGCTGCCATTGTTTGCCTGATGCATACAGCGGCGATTGTTCGGAGTGCAAATAATTTGGAATGGTTTCCTGGAATGGTCGACTTGGCCAGACTCTGCTTATCTGGCATCGGTTTGAACATGCAAATCTATTCGCCGCCGCCCAGGCTACGAGAGTGTTTTATGTTTTTGTCTGAATGTGGAAAGAATCATCTGAGGTGATCATCGCGATGAGTCGCCCGATGGCGGAGCGTAGCCCACTTTGTCATGCATTATTAATGGCCCTTGGCATATATATCGCATATGCATACTAATTGGTGTTTATTTTAATTTCGATATTTTACACAGAAGATTTCACAATTTCTCAATAGCCGAAGACCACGTCGCTGCTTGTCTGTTTTCCCCCCTCTCCGCTATCCACTGCTCTACTCTACCCTACTCCACTCTTCTGGCTATGCAAATCAGTGCAGCCATGTCACCCCAAACTCTTGTTTTAACGGGCGCAGTGCGGCCAGGGCTTGGTCCAAAATTTACGCAATAAGTGTGGACCCCAAGTCGGGGTCCCAGCCTGATTTCAATTGATTTCCTCGTCTCTTTTTTGTTTTCTTTTTGGCACTCAACTTTACTACTGGTGGTGCGAGTACTAAACACGCTTGTCACTGGTTGTTTTACTTTACTTTACGCTACTCACTTCTTATTTGGCTGATCGGTGGCTTTGGGCGGAGATTGCGCTGTGGTGCGTACAACGGTGCAGCTTTGATTGCGAGCTGTTAGCCTGTTTAGCTGACTTTTATACTAAGGAGCTTTAACGGCTCATACACTACACTGAGCGCAAGTCCCAGCAGCGCAGCCCGCCCGCTCGCACGGAGCTTTCGCATGGGGAACCGGATTTTCGATGACTGACTTAAGGTTTTTTCAGCTGAATTTTTCGGCAAGCAGTCAAACAGTCCACTCCACCAGTTCATAGGGTGGAATGGAAATGGGAGTTTTATCTGTGAACTCCCCATGCCCCTGCCCCTGCCCATTCTCACTGCTTTTTGTTTATTTAATAGTTACATTTTTTTTCATTTTTGGCGGCTCTCACGTACAAAATTCGTAAGAAAAACATTGACGTACGTGAAAATATAAATTTAAATGTTGATTTTGCCAGTCCGTGCCGAGTTTCGAGCTGGAGTTAGACAGAGCCAAGAGCCAAGAGCGAAAATCTGAGCGTGCAGAGCGGACAGCGGAGATCTGGAGACACTCACAGATCTGGCTCTGAGTCTGGTCTCTGACTCTGACTTAGTTTAACGATCGCATTTAGTTGTTTCTGGTGCTGGTGCTGTTTTTTCTGTGTTGTAATCGCTTTTATGCATTTCCATTTCCCTTTTAATTATCTTTCGGATCATGGATCGCACGCACCAGTCTACACCCGAACACATTGCGAAAGCTTTAGCTACGATTCACTTCAACTGGTCTCAGCGATCGGGATTTACCCCACTGCATTGGGTGGACATACATACTTTTTGACATCTTAGCCATGGTTAGGGGGTTTTTCCGCCGTATTTGCCAGATATTTAGCTTCGACGGTCGGTCGGTACACTGTACATGGGACATGCTAATGGACTCGGAACTCGAGCTCAGACTGATAATTCTAGCCGCTTTGGGGGCAACAAAATTAACAATTAACTATAAAAAGTAAAAATACACTTTATATTCGTTTAATTATGTACTTTCGCAGCTTTTATGGCACCATGTCACTGATAATGACGCAGGCGATTCTAGAAAAAGCGAAAATTATCAGGCATATGAAGACGATCTGCTGGTGCTGCTGGCTGAACGGATCAGCTGGACACGCAGCGAAAAGGTTGATAAATCACCTCGACCGGTGCTGACCCGACTCTCCACTTGTGATATAACATCCGAACCAATTATACAAACAACTTTCGGCTTGTTTGGCTGCGATTACCATTCAAATTGGGGCATCCTTTGCCTCAAGCGCGCATACACATATATATTTCGATTTATGCAAATCAAGAGTGATCGGGAAAGGAAAAATAAACGGTCAACACACGACACCGTTGGCAGGCGAGTGTGGCGAGTGTGGCGAGTGTGCGCGAGAGGAAGCGAGACAAAGGGTTGGGGTTGCTTACCTTGAAACCACATCAGGGCATCAGCCAGAGAGAGGGAGAGAGACAGGGGGAATGTGCAAAAAAAGTTCAGGTTCAGGAAAGATGAAAACAAGATGAACAAAATCAAGTAAAATCAAGTAAAATAAATGTAAACAAGATCCATGGATCATCGAAGCATTGAATGCCCTTTCAGACCATTTAACATTCCACAGGACCAAATGGTTTCGATCCAAATATTCAACAGTTTAGGCAGATTTAGAAAACAAAAGCGTAAGTTTTCGAAACAATAAACGAATATACGGGTTGGACTATGGACCATGATTCTTTCCAAGCGTTGCAAGTGACTGATCAAAATGTTTCGACCCTTTTCGAGGGTATTTAAAACCACAAGATACACAGAGCAAGAAGAAGAGGCTGAAGAAACAATGACAGCAAAAAGTTAAATGTACAGATTGAATAAAGCGCAAAATAAATCTTCCACTTGGTACGTGCCCAAGTTTTCATTGTCATTGCGAGCTGCTGCCACCACACAAAAAGCGAGGCGAATCAAACAAAAGCCGCGACCTCAAACCCGTCAACACGGCAAAGGTGGTGGGCGACAGAGGGATCGGAGGAGGAGGAGGATTATCACTGTGGCTTAGATGGGACTAATGTCTGGGATGGGCTTCGTCTTGGGCTTGGGCTTGGGCTTGGACAGGGCTCTCCTCTGACAGATAAGGTGAAATGGGGCACATTCAGTTTTCAACTTAATCGTATTTTATATAAAAGAAAACAACTGATAAGTGCAGTGGCAGCATCAGGAGCGGCAAGCCGACCGCACCTCTAGCCTAAAACTATAAGTATTTCTATGTATGTATGTATGTATGTATGTATGTATATTGTATGTACACTAGTCCAGCAGTCGCATCTCAATCATCGCCTAAATCAGAGACTATTTGACAGCCTCATCAGAGTCTTGGCCGCATTGCGTAAGGTGGCGATCGGTTGTCGGAAACACCGTTTCAAGGCAGGCGTTTGTGGAGCCGCGGCCGCAGATCTTGCGATAGAGATCCACGTAACTGAGATCGCCCCAGGCCACACGGATCACTTTAAGGGCGCTCCACAGGGCGAGCAGCAGCAGGAGAGCCATGCAAGGCGCCTGCGCGTGGGGCAGCACCTTCGAATTGATCCACATCAGCCCAAGCACAAAGTCGGGCAGCTCACCCATTTCCTGGAAAAGTTCAATGGGGGTTGGGTTGGGTTGGGTATCAGTGTCAGTGTCAGGGAAATTTCCATGTACTGGAGAGGGCTGTTTCCACTTACAAACTCATACCAGAAGGTGGGCAGCAGCATGTTGCTAAACTTGCTCAGTCTCGGGCTGTAGGAGGAGAGATTCGGAATGGGTATGTTCGACTGGAAGCGGTACTTCTCGTTGACAGGTATGCCTGTGGTGGGCTCCATCAGCATGTATGGCTCGTGCTCCTCGGCATTCGGATTGTAGCCCTCGTAGTGCTCGCTCCAGTTGTAGCTGCTGCCATAGAAGTGGGGCGCCGAGAACGCCGATGGGGCATCATCTGCCACAGCGACAGAAATGTTAGAAATAATACCCTAGAATCCCTTGAATCCCCACCGCTAGTCGATCGCCACTTACTTATCACACACTTGGAGACGTCGAACATCCCTTTGTGCAGCTTGGATCCGTAGGTGGTGTCCATGCACGGTGGGGGCTCCTTGTCCGGCTGCAGCAGCAGGTAGCGGTAGGTGTCGAGACCGGCGTAGCGCTGCGGACGCTGATAGATGAGGGGCAGGACGCGGCAGGACTCGATGGCAACGATATTCAGCGGTGTGTCTGGCTGCAGGAAGGGCGGGAAGAGCGAGTTGTCGTGAGCGCCGCTCACGTTGTAGGGGCAGGAGTCGTCGGACCACTTCTCGCTGCGCGGCACCTGCTCTTTGATGATTTGCTCCCCGTTGAGCGTCTCGATGCGGAAGAAGTTATCGATGCCCTGCTCCGGACCAATGTTCACCGTGTACACCTCCTCCTTGTCCTTGAGAGCCTGCGGGTGGAAGCGTTTCAGCACGTAGCCAAGGGAGATGCAATCGCGCCACTTACATTGTACAGCGGCCCGCAGTTGGCGGACACCGCGAAGGGCAGTAGGTTGGAGACCAGCTGCAGGGAGGGACGCGTGAACTCCCAGAGGAAGTAGTAGACGGAGCCTCTGATGAAAAGGTCCTCGAACCTGGTGATGGTATCGAAGCCCAGCCTCGATAGCGGCGACACGTGGCTGAATTTGGCCGCCGCCCCCAGTAGCACGTTGTTGGGCGATATGATCGTCCAGTTGAGGACATCGGGGGCGACGCTCTCCTCGGGCAGGAACTGCACATGCCGGTAGCGATTCTTTCGGTACGTCACACTGGCCTCGTTGCGACTGAGGACGTCGTTGAAGCCCACGATTTTGTAGACGATCGGTCCGATCTGGGCCACTTTCAGCCGCTTGTCGCGCCCGCTTTCGAACTCGGCAGCGTTCGTCACGTTGAACATGTAGCTCTTGAGCTTACCAAACGGAGAGTTCACCCAGCTGTCCATGGTGGGCATCTCCTGGCGGAAGCGGACATGCTCCCTGGCCACCACCAGGCGGTAGTCGCACATGCAGGACAGCACAAACAGATAGAGGCTCGACAGGCCGAACAACACGTAGAGAGCTACCCTCAGCTTCTGTCCGGTCTTCATTTTGGCTGGCTGGCTGGCTGGCTGGCTTAGAGATCTGGGTACCAAGGCGTATGGTCAGATGGAGACGTCCGTTCGGGGGAAAACACGCGATCTGTTTGACTCGAAACTAAGCGCTTTGGCCAGCGGAACGCAATGAAATGAAAACAAAATATATAAAATCAAAATAACGGAAAGGCTATCAGCTAAGCCCTCGAGCTGGAGCTGGAGCTGGAGCTGAATCTAGTGCTGATTCGGCTGCCTGGCTCCCGGCTGCTCCCGCTCTGGGGAACAGCAGCGATAATGGGGGATCTCTGACCCGATCGTACAATTCACGCACATTCCAATTAAAACTCTATGCTGCCAGATAAGCAGTACCTAAGGGAGTCAGTCTGCACTGAAGTGGACTGTCCTGCCATTCGGAAGCTCAATCTGTCCGGTCCGGCAAGGTCCGCATGACGTCTCATTGGATCACCTGTTGCCATTCAGGTGGTGACAGTGCCAGTTCCAGTCCCCCCCCTGCGTGGATTCACGGCTAACCTCGGTCGTTGGCAGGTGGAGATTGCCTGCACTTGACTGGGAGACCGCCGCCCTGGGGTCGCAGCAGAGGCTGCCTTATCAGGCACAGACAGACGCAGACGGCACTCCGCTTATCAGTCCAGCGGGCAGCAGAACGTGCAACGAAACAAATGACTGGCCATTAAAGTCTGTCCCGGCTTTGGTCTGCTCTGGTCCAGGCACAGTGATCCGCAATCGCAATCAATGGAATTCAGTATTAATAGACGCTTGAATGGCCATTCTGCAGAATCCGGTCTGGCTTGTGTTTGTGTTTGTGTCTGTGTCTGTGTCTGGAGGTCTTCAATGCATCCAATCGAAAGTAAACAAACTAAGTTCCAAAATCTGGCATTCTGAGATGAATTCTGCTGATAGGCGGCGGGCCCTCATAATTTATTACATTTTAAATTTCCATTTAATGTTTCATGTACATATGTATGTATTTCTGTGTGTGTTCTGGGTTATGTGGGATGACCTCGCAGCCACTTTAAGCCTTTATAGAAAGGGAACTCGGACATCAACATCAACTGATGCAGAGATAGAGCTAATCTGTCGCGGGTTTAGTTCTCGTTTTCGCTTTCACTTGATCTCGGTGCATGCGAGGCACACTTGGGATGCATACTTTTGGGATCGAACCAGAGATTCTAGAGCAGGAAAATATGTCCCAAGGGTGCATCTAGTGCACACAGGGACATATATGTATCTTGTTATGCTGAGCGCATACTGAGCGCCTACTGAAGTGGAGGGGCATCAGGTAAAACCATTTGTCATTCCTATAGAAGGACTCAGATCTAGGCAGCATTCGCTTGCATAGTATTCCATAGTCATTCCAGAAATCATCATCAAATATTTGTAGGTATACGGTATATGTTCTGAAACATCCTTCGTTGCATACTTTTGGGTTTCCTTCCAACCGATTCCGGAACTGATTGCCAGTTGAAGTCAATAAAATCTTGAATGTGCAGCAATAAAGCAGTTATCGATGGCATAAACAAATTTTCCACTTGGATGTTGTTCTCGCAGCATTTATTTGTTGTTATTTCAATTCAATTCCTTTGTTTTGGGAGCCCACCAAATATTCTATAGCTAATGGATAGGATAGCCAAATAGAGCTTAGGCTAACAAACATTTGCAGTTTGGATTCAGTTTGAGCTTATGTGAAGGGGGAATGGGGAATGGGAGGGGTAGGGGTAGGGGTAGGGAATTCCGGTCTATGGCTAATTAAAATAATATCGTAATTTATTGCATATTATACAAATACGAGTACATATGTACATATGTAGGGGTATACTTGGGACTGATAATGAAGCACATTTGTATGGAGGACGGAACATTGCTTTATTTTTTATTTGAGAAACGTTTCGGGTTTTGTGACTTGATTGTCTTGACATCGAATTTCAACAAGTGGTTAATGGGGGGTACTGGTATGGGGGGTGGGGGCATATTAATTCAGTTTTGGTATAACAAATCCAAGTTTAAGCTAAGTCGAAGCTTTGAGCCTTACAGCGATCATCACGACTGTTGCGTAGGACTACACATCATCTTATTTCATCTCATTTCATCTCATCAGAATTTCATAACGATTACTTACAAAGTTAACCTACATACAATACAATAGATACAGATACAGATACAAATACAGATACAAATACAGATACACATACAAAATACATACAAGTCTTCCCAGCTCCATTTGTTCTAGACTACAGACACTCACACACACCACCAAACGGATCAGATCGAATCAGATCAGACCAATTGATGGCGGGGGATGGGGAGGGGTTATGGGAAGGGAATGGGCTAGTCCCAGTTACCTATCTACACTTAACTAAGACACCCAGAGACCCCTCGACACCTCAACTGATCATCCAAATCATAAATCATCCAAAGAGCGACAATCTCTAGTATCTGGCGGGCTGGGTGTCCTTGTTCTGCTTCTTGTTCATGTCCACCTGTGCGGTGGCCAGGTAGTTGGAGCCCTCCAGATGCAGGGTGCTCTGCCGGTGAGAGTTGCGGATCAGGCAGAACGTCGACAGCAGCAGCAGGGCCACCCCCAGGGCGAACAGACCGACAATCAGGGCCACACGAATCTTGGGCGGCACCTGCTCGGCGAAGCGCATCAGATCGGTGACATCGTTGGGCAGGCTGTCGATCCCCTCCTCGAACCACAGAATGGGGAAGATGATGTCCGGGAAGTTGGCCACTTGCTTGATGTCGAACACCTGGCTGACGGCCAGATTGATTTGGATGCGAGCCCGAGCACGCAGCGTGGTTCCCATTTTCTATGTGGGTGGTGGGTGGCACAGAGATTTGGCATAGTTAGAGGAGAACTGCAAGGAGGAACGGGGCATTCCCTTACCGGCTGCACATCCATGAAGAACTGATGCTTCTCCTTCTCCGGGGGCGAGATTCCCTCCACCTGTGTCCGCAGGCTGTCGTCGCCGAGATAGAAATGGGGGAAGCTTAGCATGATGGGCGAATCTGCAGGGGAGAGCCAGATATTAGTGTCGGCAAAAGAGTCGGCATTGAGTGCGAAGGGGGGCAGTACCGTATTGACACAGCGAGACGTTGAAGAGGCCGTTGGGGGAGCACGAGGGCTGGCCGGCGGGGCAGAAGCACATGTTCTCCGGGTGGCTCTCGACATCGGCAAAGACCCACTCGGGTGGGGTGAAGCGATAGCCGGGCACCTCGTTCGAGGTCATCACCTCCTTCTCGAAGACCAGCGGCATCAGGCGGCACAGATCCTTGTCGTACACATGCAGCACACGGTCGTGGTCGATGTGCGGTGGGAAGATGGAGCCGTCGGTGCCGTTCAGGCTGTTGCACGCATCGGTGGTCCAGTGGGCCAGATGGGTGCGACCGTTGTACTGGTCGATAATGCCGTACTTCTCGATGTCATCCACGCCCGTGTTGACGGTGACGCGGTCGGAGGAGGTGCCGTTCTTGCCGTACAGCAGGCCAAACTCCTCGTACGGCAGCTTCTGCTCCTTGGGCACCACATCCTTGGCCAGCTTGAGCAGCGGATCCTCGTAGCCCCAGAGCAGCTGTCCCACGGACACCTGCACGAACGGCTTGATCTTCAGAATGTCCATGATGCTGGCCATGGCCAGGCGCAGGAATCTGGGAGAGGCAAGATCGGGGTTAATCAGCTAGCTGGAGGCCACTCCCAGGGGCACTCACCTGGCCGCATGCTTGCTTTGGGAGGTGGCACTCAGCATGGGAATGTTGGGCACAATCACCACGTCATCTTCGGGGCCCACGGACAGATCTTCGCGGAACGAGTAGATCTTGCGCAGATTGTAGCTGAGCGTGCCATTGTCATTCTCCACGATGTTCACCTTTTCCCAGCTCTCGCTGCAAGTGCGTGATGGAGGTGCGGATGGCGGAGGGGGAGTGGTGTGGAGTGGAGAGATGATCGTGTTAACATTGACGTTTAGATTCTGTTAAGAGATCACTTACCTGTAGACATAGGGACCCACCTCATCGACAATGGCCTTGGAGCCATTGCTGAGAAAGTCATCGGCATTGGTCACATTGTAGATGTACAGGCTGATGTGGGGCTCCACCGGGGGCTTGGCCCACCAGCCGAAGGTCTTGGCGCCGGGACGCAGTGCCACCATGCGGTCCACAATGGCATTGATCAGCACGGAGAACTCGCAGGCGACCAAAACGCCTCCCACTATCAAAACTGACGCAATGGCGATCGTAATCCCTGGGAAACCAAAGCGAATTAATCAACGAAACGATTGCACAGCGATTGCATAAATCACTGGATGATTGGGATGAGTCAGACAGGCACGCTGGAGGGGGGGGAAAGGTGGGAATCGAGACAAATATTTGAGTTGGCACTCTGGGACTGGGACTGGAACTGGGACCACTCGGCATAAATATTTATATATCGAACGAATAGAACGAACACTCGCCTCGCATATTGTGGCACATGAATCATTTCTCCACTGACCCTTTGACCTTATACACTTTGCTATCCAATTAGCAGCTATACAGTTTACAACATCCGATGCACAGAGATACTACGATCCCCAATTAGTTGTGATTGAATAATTATCGTTTAATTACAGAAGTGGCAGAAGCGCCAGAACTGGAATCTCCACGCTAAACTACAGCGATCAGATCCAGAACTGGAACCAGAACCAGAACCAGAAATAGAACCAGATGCCAGTCCTTGGAAATACATTTGCACACTACGCAATAGTCGCCTCTATCCAGAAGGTAGAGAAAGGGGGGAATGGGATGGGATAGTTATCGCTACTTGGGTAAAGTAAATAAAGTTCCAAGTTTATCCTCTGCGTACTTTCAGCGGAATCAATTAGAAATTCAAAAGCGAATACCTGTATAACCAGTCATAGGAACAAAGCAAAGCAAAGCCACCGCAAACTATAGAGCAAAATCAAGAATCAGGCACGGCACGTGGAGTTATATATACATACATATATATTTTATACGATATATGGACGGATATTGGATGAATCGCCTTGGTTAGGTCGGTCAGTCGATGGTTCCACCTCCCATTGGGTTGTGAATAAATTGTGTGACGGGAAATTATTACACAAAATAAATCAATACGGAAA